AGCCGTCACCGTGCTGTCACCTGTCAGCTTCGTGGCTGGTCGTGACGTCACTGAATGGCTGTCAGCGGCTGTGGCCGCGGCCCGGCCCGGCCACCAGACAGGGGGCCGGGGCTTAATTTGATAGGAAGAAAGCAGAGAACTGTGCCGTCTGCAGGCCTCGATTCAAACAGACCAGAACGGTTGTCGGCAGTCCGTATATAACAATACCTGCCCTTTGCATACTTGTGCATGAAAAACAACTTAGAAATTTTTGCTTTGATTACCTATTACGTCTATACTCAGCACAGTGCAGTGGTAGGTTTAAGTCTAGTCTAGATTAGGAAACCAAATGCGCCTGTGAACAATAAATATACGATTAAAAAGTACTCTTAGGAAAAGTACGACTGCAACCGATAAGCGATTGCCCACTTTTAAAGCTACCGCAATAAAATGGGGTTTACGATTTGACGCACGGTCAAAAAGCCTTGTACTAATTTTGGGGGTTTCAGTGGCTTTCTTTTGTTGTCTGAACCTTGTACGGTGTACCAGCTGCTGTATGTATATGCAGCTGGCGTATTTACAAATTGCAACCGAGCTCCGCCGTAGGGTATTTTATTTGCGCCGTAGTGTATTTCAGTTGGGGCATTTTCTACCATACAGCTGCCTGAGCTTGGGGTAATTACAATTTGTCGGCGACGTTAAAAAATGATGCACCTTTTTTCGCAGTATAGGTTATCGCATGTGCGTATTTTTGCCTTTTTGGTTGCGCTTTTCCCTCGGCCGTATAGGGGGAGGCGTTGAGCGGACCCCATCGGTTTTTCGTGAGTAACTCGCGTAAAAACCGTCCGATCGCGACGAAACTTTCAATACCCCCGATTTTATCAATTTTACTCCTACCCTGAAAATTTCATGACCCTGACCCAAATGACCTTTGACCTGTGACCTATTTCTCGAGACCATGTTTGGCCCGAATCGCGATTCGGCGATATGTCTGCTCGCATTAGCCGCGCGTTTGCAGTCTTTAAGTGGTTTCAAGCGTTGAAACATGTGATATGATGCTCGTCCCATGCATTAGGGTGGGTGTCACATGAAAGTCAGGTCAGCTCAATGACCTTTGATGACCCCGGTTCACTTTTTCGAGTTTAACATGTTTCTAGACTAGTTTTTGTTTAGCTGATTTCGAATTTAGCAACCATTTGAACATTACAGGGGTGTAACGAAATTATCCGGACATCTTTCTTCCCGCTGTTATTAAAAAGCAACACATTCTGGTACTTTTTATTTTGACTGAGCATGTAGCCACCTTTCATAAAAACACAGTGGCGAATGTTTTGGAGCATTTCAGCCAATGGATTCTCCAGCAAACTGGCTTTGACGCGGACCAACGCCGTCTAAACCTGTGCCTGCGGTTGGGCGGTGCTTGTGGCGGGCGTCTCTTCAGTCACCTGCTGAACAAGAGCCCACAGGTTTTCAATTGAATTGGGATCGCGACTTTTTCCAAGTCATAAGCGTTAGCCCAGAATGATTGAAGGTTCTATCGGCATCACTTCCCGTTCTTTTAGGGACTTTTAAGTAGCGCGCCGCCCCGCATGAAGATAGCGTGGCTTGAATCAGGCATCAGTGCGCGTTCAGAAACCGAGCCCTCCTATACCGTCTGGTTGAGCGCCTCCGACTATTCATTAGCCAGTATGTTTCTCCGGGGTAATACTTGACGTTGATGGTGGTATTATGTGACACTATGTCCTATTGGAGGATCGCTAGGCAACTGAACATGCTCCAGTTCAGGATATTGTCCGGATGTTTGACGGCGGCGAAGGCCAGCAAGTTCGAGCGGCTGGCCGCCCATACATGGCCGATTTGACGGTTCAAAGGATAAAACAGCTCGAACGGCTACCCATCCAACCAGACCACCTCACCCTTATCATTCTTCATCCAGTGGACGCGATCCGGCGTGAGGCGAAAGGATGTGAACTGGTTGTTTTCCCGTCAGTTTCGTTGTCTTTTTCAGTTTGAAGGGCACTAGAACCAAGTTAAAGGGCGGGTAGCGGTAAACCATGATATGGGATCTCTTATTATCTGACTTGGTAAGAATTCGAGTCAATTTGCAGATTGATTGGTGCCGTTTCCTTGCCGCTATCCTGACAACTCTCCTCACCACTTGACAAAGGGCGGCTTTTGTGGTCGCGACCGGGCTGAGTCTGCCACCGAAGTCCCAGCTTATTACACCTCAGGCAGATGTGCAATTGGCTGCTGCTGATGTCTAGCTGCTGGCAGACCAGCTTCTGGCTCATGACGCCGTGGATGCCGCCATGCAATTTTACCACGAAAGGAGAGATTGTATCCCTTTCTCGCAACTGCCTTGGACGACAACTACCATGTGAACCCGTCTGTGAATCGACTCCTACTCAGAGCAACAGTCACATGACAAGGTCAGGTCACTGCTGAGTTGAAAACCGATAGCAGAGGCACGTATTCATCCAATATTCCCACTTCTAACATCAGAAAGTATGAGGAAACTGTGCAAACAGATATGGCAAAAAATAGATGTCCGGATAATTTCGTTACACCCTGTACTGAAGTAGTTTTAGTGCCTTCGTAACAAGTTACGAAGCTGTCAGAGAAAAAATAGCGTTCTGCCCCTCCAACTTTTGCTTATTTGTAGAACTTCGTTGCTTAGCAAACCACTATGTTGTTCGCATTGAGGAGCTTTGAAATGTCTGTGTAATTCAAAATATTAGTTCTGTAATTAAAAGAATTGATTCAGTGTTGCACATAATCTAACTTAACAACCGAGCATTGCAGGTTTGACAGCTTTTTGCCCAACCAGCACCACCTTCCCTGGAAAAGCTCCACCCTTGCCTATGGGGCAAAACATAAGGGACAAAAACACAAAACAAGACAGATAAAAAACAAAACAAAATGAACTCATTACCTAATGAAGTACAGTCTGGAGCAAAAACATAGGTAATAGGTATCTATGTCAAATTAGAATGAAAGATTAAAATCAACCTGACCAGGTCTTACAGTCTGACCTGATCCTAACCGCCTTACTTCACCTAACTTAACCCAATTCAACCTAACCTACCACAACACCTGCAGAAGTACCTTCCTGGAAAATGATGCCTAGGGAGGTGTCCAATTGATTGGAATATTACCATGATTGCTTGTCAAAATGTGTGTCATCATGCTCTTGTTTGACAAGTGATGTATAATAAATGTGACATTCAAAAATGGTCTCCTGACTTGAGTGACCAGAATATTCAAATGATCAGGGTACAATGCTGTGCATCATAGTGCACACTAATCATGCTGTTTTTGTGTAGGCCCTCTGTGCATTATTGTGTACACTGCCATGTGCACCTTAAGGAAAAAAAGTGACTGGTGGTACAAGAAAAGGGTTGCGCAACTGTGAAGTTCATGCCCTTGGTCTTGCTGGAGTCAAATGCCTATAGCTATAGCAGGATCAGTGAGGGCTGTAGACATGCTACATACACTGTGAATTGAAGATATTGGCACAAAGTTCATCCATAATTACTATGCTTAACACCAAATGTAAGAAGCAACATAAATGCCCAGATGATACAGCTCTCTGGTCAACATCACACAAATTTATTGACATACTTTGCAGGTACATATTTACATTAATAGCAAATACTTTCGATTTGATTCAATAACTAGGTGCTAGTAAGCTTGCATTTTTGTAGGTACAACAATGAACATATATTTAATCATAAAAAAACTTTATCGTCGCATTCATCACATACCTTTTTACTGAACAAGTACATATCTACCATGCAATGATTCTAAATTTTGTCCGCAATCCACATATATCTCAACTGACACATTGAAATTGAAATAACATAATCTAACTTAACAACCGAGCATTGCAGGTTTGACAGCTTTTTGCCCAACCAGCACCACCTTCCCTGGAAAAGCTCCACCCTTGCCTATGGGGCAAAACATAAGGGACAAAAACACAAAACAAGACAGATAAAAAACAAAACAAAATGAACTCATTACCTAATTAAGTACAGTCTGGAGCAAAAACATAGGTAATAGGTATCTATGTCAAATTAGAATGAAAGATTAAAATCAACCTGACCAGGTCTTACAGTCTGACCTGATCCTAACCGCCTTACTTCACCTAACTTAACCCAATTCAACCTAACCTACCACAACACCTGCAGAAGTACCTTCCTGGAAAATGATGCCTAGGGAGGTGTCCAATTGATTGGAATATTACCATGATTGCTTGTCAAAATGTGTGTCATCATGCTCTTGTTTGACAAGTGATGTATAATAAATGTGACATTCAAAAATGGTCTCCTGACTTGAGTGACCAGAATATTCAAATGATCAGGGTACAATGCTGTGCATCATAGTGCACACTAATCATGCTGTTTTTGTGTAGGCCCTCTGTGCATTATTGTGTACACTGCCATGTGCACCTTAAGGAAAAAAAGTGACTGGTGGTACAAGAAAAGGGTTGCGCAACTGTGAAGTTCATGCCCTTGGTCTTGCTGGAGTCAAATGCCTATAGCTATAGCAGGATCAGTGAGGGCTGTAGACATGCTACATACACTGTGAATTGAAGATATTGGCACAAAGTTCATCCATAATTACTATGCTTAACACCAAATGTAAGAAGCAACATAAATGCCCAGATGATACAGCTCTCTGGTCAACATCACACAAATTTATTGACATACTTTGCAGGTACATATTTACATTAATAGCAAATACTTTCGATTTGATTCAATAACTAGGTGCTAGTAAGCTTGCATTTTTGTAGGTACAACAATGAACATATATTTAATCATAAAAAACTTTATCGTCGCATTCATCACATACCTTTTTACTGAACAAGTACATATCTACCATGCAATGATTCTAAATTTTGTCCGCAATCCACATATATCTCAACTGACACATTGAAATTGAAATACCCTAGCAAAACCTAGAACTGTACAAAAGAAGAATGCAATGCTACAAGAACTATGAAGTTCTGAAGTTATTCTCACATGCTCGAATGTTGAAACTCTACTTTTGTCGTCCATTTCCACATTTGATTGAGCCATCATATAGAACTGTTTTCACTCTTCAGTCGTAAGCTTTTGCACAAATCTTGAATTTTTACACATCATCTTGAACCATGCTCCAGTCTTTCCAACAAGGTACTATGGAACATCAAAGCAATTTTGATTTGTTACAACAGCTTCAGATCATGATAGGCTTGAAGTTTGTTACACGATTTGCCAGACAAACCTCTACAAAATGTGTATCAATTCCCAAACTAAGCAATTGATTATATCAGTATTTGCAGTTTCCACACAATGTTTCATAATATTATTCGATTTTTATATCAAGAAACCCAAATAATCCACAAACTGTAATTGAAACACCCCCACTTCAAGAGTTCACAGCAATAACAATACAAGTTCAGAAGCAAATAAACATTGCGCCAGATTTCGTATGAAACGCGCCATCATCCTGAAGTTTCTACCACAGACGGTAGTTCAACCGCAGCCGTAGTGCGAAAACCCCTGCCCACCTTACCCCACGGCGGAGCTCGGTTGCAATTTGTAAATACGCATGCAGCTGCTGAGCCGTGTAACTACGGCAGCTGAAACCAGCAGCCCCGACACACGTATCACGGCGGATCGGCGGACATCTGTCGACTGGCCGCGGCGGTGGTCCAGCCTCCGCTCCTCCCCTTCGTCACCTGGCCGACGGACGACCGCATCGCACGACCGGCGGCGACATCAAATACGGTACACCACCTGTTCCCATTCGTCGCACGTGCCACCGGCGGCGGGCGGCTCCTTTGATGCGGCGCCGGGCGGGCGGCACCTTTGAAGCGGCTAATTTCCGTGATCGGCGGCGGTAATGAAGAGCCGCCTGGGAGTGGTACGCTGCACAAAGGACGCCATCCGCGCGGCCCGCGGCCGGCGGCCGGCGGCACCCGTTTGATGTCGCCCGCAGCCGGCTATTAGGCCGCGATTCGGTAATTATCAGAGCGCCGGTCGGAAGGGTTATGACGGATAATTGCGCCCGCTCGGCCCGAGGAGGGCGGTGGCCGGCAGCAGGGCGGGTCGTTCCCAGCACCTCGGTACATCGGTCACTGCCGCCGCAGGTCACGGAGACAGACAGGGCCGGCGGCGGCGGACGGACCGCGAGGTCGGGGCTGTGGGTAACCCGAGAGCCATCAGAACTGAGGTAACCCGAGAGGTCAGGGCTGTGGGTAGCCGAGAGGTCGGGGCTGTGGGTAGCCTGAGAGGTCAGAACGGTGGGTAATAGGAGAGGTTACTCAAAACTTTAGCCTGTGGATAACGGGAGAAGTCAGAACTTTGGTCTGTGGGTAACGGGAGCCGTCAGAACTTTGGTCTGTGGGTAACGGGGAAGTGGAAGCTGTGGGTAACCCGAGAGGTTAGAGGGTGGCCGAAAGAGGGATAACCTGAATGAGAAGTCAAAATACCATCTTGCTTAGAGGACGTTAGTGGTGTTCAGAACTGCTCTTGTGTTCGCTTGTCTCACTCCCGGCGGGTTCAAAGGTTTATGCTCCAGAAAAAAACCCTGTGGAAATGGACTTTTTGCCGAATACTTTTTCTGCAAAAACTGTTGATATAAATTTTATTAGCATTCTCTCATAGAGAGGATGTCGATGTTGAATGATATACAAGTTATTTGTTATTGGGGAATATTTGTTTCTGGTCCCTAAAAAGCTGTTTCAGGCACCTAATTGCTGATCAGCCCCAAAATGCTTATTCGACCCTAATATCTGAATCTGGCACCTAATTGCTTCCACACAGCCTAAAGTTGCCAGATCGTCTAGTTGAACTCCGTATTTGCTGTTTGCTGATTCAGCACCAAAACCAAAACATCCAGCACCTATTTTATTCCACGTTTGCCTACCTAATTCGCGTAATCTTCCTGATTTTATGTATCCTACAACATGAGCGTTGCATTCGGTGATGTCAAGTGCCATTTTCGCCAGTGGAGATAATGATTAATGCCATTTCTAGCCAAAAGAGAATCACTAGCCTGAGCCAGCTATGGTGCAGCATAGCAAGACGCTCCTATACCAGCCCGCTATGTAGAGACTAGAGATTATTGCACCCTCAGCCATCTTAACGTGAAAAGTTTGGATCCGTCACTTCCAGTCAGGCTCTCAGGTCATAAACTGGAGTACCTAAAGCAAAATGTCAACTCCGAACAGACATGCCACGCAACTCTTTTCAATATTATTAGCTTTCTGCAATCATCGTCAGACTCCGTCTCGATCAAACGCAGCATCCGGTTTCTACAGGGGCGTTTGACTGACCGGCCACACAATAACCAAAAACAAAATCAAAGCTTCATGCACACATATGACATAAGTAAGAAACGGATGAAAAAGGCACAACCACGGCACAACTCTGCGCGGCAAACAACGGACAATGTCCCACGCAAGATCCCGCGTTTCTCCAGCGGCCTTGAACGGAATGAAAACATCACATTTCTTTTTTGGAGCTATTTGATGACGTCCAAAAAATACAATACCCGTTTTAATGGTCAAAATCGAGACGATTACTCACAAAAATGTTTCCCTTTAAGCATTACAAATAAATACTTTAAAATATTTAAATGACATTGTTTTTTCAAACAAATCAATATTATTTGCTTACTTAAACGTCATATACAATGCTGAGATCACTACGGGGCTGTCTTAGAGTGTAGCTGCACTGGCAACCTTTAGGCTAGACTCCAGGGGTCATTATACCAGAACAACATGATTCTACCAGCCAGTAGTTCATTTTTCTACTAGATTGGTGCTACGCTCAGCATTTAGGTGCCAGATTCAGAAAAAAGAGTAAGGCGTACCGATGAATAGGTGCCAGAAACAGCTAATTAAGGTCATTTTCCATGATTGGTGCTGGTATCCACCAAATAGGTGCTGAGGACCAATTTTGGGGCGAGTCAGCTTTTAGGTGCCAGAAATAGCTTTTCTGGGACGCAATTAAATGGCGTCCTTTGTTATTTGACCCAAAAACGTCAACTCTACACACAGAAAAATATTGACACCGTTAGCGGTGTAATTGCACAGTACATATCTGAGCACTTGAGGAAAGTTAATTTAGTCCCTTCCCCGCTTAAATTACTCGCGCTTCTAAATGAACACCAGGAAGAAGGTAATAGAACACTGTTAGGAGGGTTGGGTGTTTTACTACATGTAGCAAAACACCCAACCCTCCTAACAGTGTTCTATTACCTTCTTCCTGGTGTTCATTTAGAAGCGCGAGTAATTTAAGCGGGGAAGGGACTAAATTAACTTTCCTCAAGTGCTCAGATATGTACTGTGCAATTACACCGCTAACGGTGTTAATATTTTTCTGTGTGTACGAGGTCATGACGACTGGAGTAGGTCATACTGCGAGTGTGTATATCTCGCTCAATATCGTTAACTTGAACGCTTGCAAGGCTTTCATCGCTTGAGCGTGTTTCAATCAAGTGACCTGTGGCTATCGAAGTATGGTGACCTTACATGATTTGATTAATTACCTCAGAGGTATAACGATTAAAGGCGGACCAGGGAATTAATTTTCCGATTCATTTTTTGCAATGTGCTTACCAGTTTCAGTTTCACGATGTTTGAGAGCCGTATGACTCGTCCAAAAGCAATGGCGGCGGAACACCTTCAATTAAGGGGGGAGGGGGCACTGCACCGGCTTTTGGTCCCATTCAATCCATGCAACGCCCAGAGGGCTAATGTTAAAATGCCAAAATCAAAGGGGGGCACGGTGCCCCGGTGCCCCCCCCCCCGTTCCGCCGCCTATGTCCAAAAGAGAAATACCGAGCGGCGAGCTCATTTTTTACCTATATCGACATACAAATGGAGAAGTCACAAAATTGAACTGAGCTTAGGTCACCGATATCATAACTCGAGATATAGGCGTAAGTAACCAAGTACGTATCATGCGTACTGTTACTTTAACCAATCGCTTTAAGCTTTTAATGCCCAACCCCAACGTTCGGTTATTGTAGCTATGCTGAGCATCGTAACTTTTCCTGATGTTAGGTCACTTGACGCGACCTGGCGACCTGACATTGAGGGACCTTAGTTTTGAATTTGCACATGTGCGCAAAACATATAGCACTTATGATAAGGTATGCCACATACCGCAAGGGGAGGGGGGAGGGGGTCACCCTCCAACAGAGCATGAACCGTATAGTCCAACTGGTGACCTCTGAGGTCAGCTCAAAGACCCAAAGGTCGGGTCCGGTTTTAGGTGAACAACCCAGACAATAGACCTTCAATGACCTCATCATAGACCTGAGCGGTTGGTAACGGTTGCAGACGACAGAGAGCGGTTTTGGTTTTTGCCGCGTTGAAACTCGAATGCCGTTCACTTCGTCATTCGTGTAGGTTACCTAAATACGTTATAAGACACTACCGAAAGGGCTGACTTTCTTGCTCAAATAGTGCTGAGTTCGCGAGCTTTGCGAACATATTCCCAGTAGGCAGTAACGCTAACACTGAAAAATGTACTATAATGATTAATGACCTCTTGTGACCTGACCTTTGACCTGACCTTACACATGACCGAAGTACTTTCTTCATGATTTTGAACGCTTTTTAGTGTGGAAATCTTTCGAATAGCAAAGCCCCTAGACCTGCCGGTTCTCCTAACTGTCCCATGTCCCACGTCCCTCCCTCAACCCTCTCCACTCTCGAGTCTCCCTTTCCAGCCCGGCGCGCATACCGAGCGCCGCCGGCGGCCTCTCGGAGGTTCCCGGTCGCTCCGAGTGGCCGCAGGGCGGCGCTAGTGTTCCCCCCCCGCGGCCGCCGCCGCGCCGCCACCGCGCCGCCCGCGCCAGAGATCTGAGAGCGGTTGTATGGAGCGGTCGCGCGTGCGGTGCTCGTGGTGATTTGGAGAGCAGCGCCGGTCAGGGCGGCAAGAGCAGGCGAGCTCGACGCCAAGTGCTAGTGAGGAGGTGTCACGGAGTGCAATGTGATCCTGCGGAGAGTCGGGAACAGAATGGCCACGATCCTGAAGTGGTGGAAAATGAAGGTGCTCGGCGGATACAAGACGATGCCAGGTATGTTAGTTGTGGAAATGGCGTTTTTGTGGATGGATGCCTGTCATTGTTGCTTTGTTGTCGAGTGAGCTTGTGCTTTGGTGTGAGTTCTGTTGTGTTGCGATGTGGGATGACACGTTTTGTAGGACATTAAAACAAAACGTCGAACTGGTCGCCCTGAATAGTGACACGGTTTTGGTCCTAGGGCTAGATAGGTACCGATATTAAACTGTTCTTTCCATTGTAGGATCGTTTTCTAAAACAATAGTCTGAACACATGCGTGTGGATTTTAGAATTGGACGCTCGCGAAAACTTCCCGAGTCCTTTTGCCTCGAATATCGCAATATTACCGTAAATTTATTTTTTATGTTAGGTTGTAGGTACTTTTACTACCATAAGTGTTCCACTGGATTACTTTTACTTCCACTGGATAGATGCCCTATTAAGCACACATTTTACTTTGTTCCCGCTGCATATTGTTTTGGAATGCCCACAAAATCGCTGGGCCCCCATACCGTATGCGCCGCCCCTGCCGTCCGTCCCGTTTCCCCACTCCACTCGCCCCCACGGGCCGCGCCAGTCTCCCCTCCGTCCCTCCCCGCCGCGCCGGTGCGTAGCTGGGCCGCGTCCGGCTCGCCGCCCGGTTCCGCCGCCGCTCTGCCGCTCTCCCCTCTGCCCGCTCTCTCCGGGCTGCGCGCGGCCAAATTCCGCCCTCCCCCCCGGCCGGCCGCCGCCGCTGCCGCCGGCTTATCTCTGGCGGCGGCGCCGTTTGAAGCCGGCCGCCAGCGAATAACATGCGCCCGGGCCCATCGGCGCGGCGGATCAAAGCGCGCCGCTCTGGCGCGCTGCCAACCATCAACACCCTACAATTTAGCGGCGCGGCGCCAGCGGGATGGCGCCGCTGCGGCGGCCGCGCGCCCGAGCGCGGCGGCCCGTGTGCACCGGCCGGCCATGGCGGCCCGCGCTGACCTGCACGGTGCATCCAGCCGCGTGACGGCCGCACCGTCACCCCGGCGTCACGGCGCCAGTCTTCCTGTGGCCGCTCCGCCGCTGACGTGACCAACCAGGGACGCCAACTCAGCCGCAACTTAACCGTTCGTCTTCCTATTAGGTCACCGTTCTTTGAAGTATGGATACCGCTGCCGTAAATATAGCGTGCAACTGGTCACTGGTTGACATTAATGTAGGATAGTAAATGCACGAAACGGTTAAGCGTTTAAAAATTAAACGGCTTTACCTATACCTCAGTTTCAGAAAGGATGAACTGAGCTGGACTGAACTATGATCACTGATGGCCAGGGTCAAGCATGACAAGGCTGCCGTAACGCCGCCTCGGCTGGCCTGGCGCCGTTTTCTGGCGCCTTCTGCCCGTGCCGCTGTCTGGTTTGGAACACTAATTGGGCCGAGTGAGGCGCCACCTCCGGGCTGCCGCAGATCGACGCCACGATATGCAGCTCTAATGCGTCGCTGAGCGGAGCGGCGTGACGTCACTGCGCCGCTGGTCGGGCGGAGGTTTGTCAGTGGGTCGGCCCAAAAGTCCTACTTACGCCTGCTAATCGGTCCGCTCATGGTTTGTCGGCTGGCGGCGGCGGCCCTCCTTAGCCGGCGGGCGTAAATAGTGGCTCGTGACGCGGCCGGCTGAGCGGCGGCTGACTTTTGTCGGCGCCGCTTTGGAGCGCGCTCACGCCATGGTCGGGCCGACGGTCGGCTCACGAGTCGGGCGCGCCGCCGGCTCCGCTCAGCAGGCAGAACCGGCTCCGGCCAGCCGCTTGGCAGCCGGTGACGTCAGGCGGCGCAGCAGCGCTGTATATGGCGCGGCGGCGGCTGCGCGCGCGCTGCGCACTTTCCTGGCGTTTGTTTCTCGCTGCTGGCCGGCCCCAGTCCCCGGCACCCCTCTGTGCAGCAGGATCAAAGGAGCCGCCGGCAGTGCGGCCTCGGACCGGGCCCATTGATCCCCTCTATCGCCGCGTGCATCTAACGCCCGCGCTCGTTTGATGTCGCCTGCTATTGCCGGCTCCAAAAGCAGAAGCCCGTAGTATCCGCTGCGGGAGGGAGCCCTTATTCGGGAACCCCCTCCCTAGCTGTCTGCAGTGACATTTCGTTTTACTGGGGCATCCAAAGCCTGGTTTATTTATAAGCTCGTGTATGATCAAAGGGAACATGAACTTTGTCATTGTGTGCAAAGCCTAACATCACAGAAAACAAGCTAAATCCAGTCACTTTGCTATGCTTTGGAAGTACTTGCCCTTTTCACCGCCCTGATTAGAACATCAAACAATGCCGGAATGGCATTGGTCAATGACCAAAATTCATTTACATGTCAGCCGACATGCCGAACGCTCCACAGCTCAGTCCGCCACATCTACAACAAGCGCCGCACCTTTGGCTCTTGCGGCTGTGTCGTCCCCCCGCCCCTCCCCCCCCCCGCGGGTCGCACCTGCCCCGCGACCTTCCGACCCTCGCCTCGGTGTCGTCGGCTGGCTCCGGCAACACCCTCTCTGGCGGCGCCCTTTGAAGTCGTCGTGACTCGCCGCGCACGCTTTGAAGTGGATATCAAACGGAATATTAGACGGGCCGCCGCGGCGGGGGGGGGGGGGGGGACCGGTCGGCGTGCCTCTGTTCCGGTCCTGGCTTGCCAGACTGTCCAATGCCGAGACCGGCGGAAACCGTACACCGGGATAGATCCGGTGTATTCGCTTCATATTTCACAGAAGACCGTTAGTAGCTAAATAAATTACTGAGATATTGGATTAATGCTCATTGGATCATATCACCTTCACTAAAATTAATTTTAGCGGTTGACGTTTGTGAATTATTCTCGTCACCCTGCGCACATCTGGTGTCCCGCCCCTTAGCTGAGCTGCACGTCTCTTGCTGCAGCTGGCTGCTTGAAGGTCGGTGCCCCGCTGTCAGAGACAGGTCGAGGGGGCCGCTGTCCGCCCCCGTCAGCCGGCAGATCAGTGTGTCGACCGTTACGTGTCGGTCTCCTCTCATCTAACCGCAACCTTTGCGGTGCCGCTAATCCATGCTATCGTTACCATCTCCACTTGCTCTGCTCCGTAAGCGCCAGCGGAGCGTCTTTCTTCCTGTTTTAGCAGCGAAGCGGGGTCGTCCTGAGTGGCGGACCGGGCCGGGCTGGGGAGAGCGGAGGGAGTGTCTGTGTGCCGAGTGTGGGCCGGCCGGCGCTGGCACCGAGGATGACCTTGGCATCAAACGCTGCCGCCGGCCGCGCGGCGCCGGCCGTACCGGGCCGCCCGGGATCTCTGGTCGGTGTACTCCGCGGCCACTCAGGTGTACCGGTATTTGTACTGGTACTGGTGGGCTGAGGGTGGATATATCTGTTAGCTCGTCATTTGTAGATGCAGAACTGCCAGTTTTACCGCTCTTTTTTAGCAGCATGCACTAGACCAAATCCAGGCTTTTTTGACAGTTTTCGGAAACGGCCGAGGAGCCGTTTCCGAAAACTGTCTGCACAGGTGTAGCCAGAGCGGCCAGCTGGGCTTGGTGGGCGTCTTTCCAAGCACGCTTCGGCCGTCTGTCTGTAACATCCTCGCTGCGCTAAGCCGAGGACTTGACTCGACGGCGCAGGATTTCGGCGAATCTCCGAGCCGCCCTGCACCGTGCCCCGGCAGTCAGAGTGCATCCATCTGGTGCATACGGTGGGCCTGGCTCTGGGCAGCACACTCCGCAGTTACTAATGGTCCTCACTTCCTGGAAGTGGTTTTTGAGGACGACTCTGGAACACACATTAACCCTCGCCCGCACATGCTATTTTCCCATCCTAGAACGCACATGGGGGGGGGGGGGGGGTGGTTGCCACCCCCCCCCGCGCCATTTCGTTCCTGTTGGAGATAGAGCTTAGCAGTAAAGACCAAAAAGATTCTTTGGGAAGAGACGAATCCAATGATACCCAGTTTTACCTTCTCAGGTCAGTCATTGACCTTCCAGGTCAGGTCAAACTAAAAAATATTGCTGTTTTGAGTCACCGTTGGATATCAAGTGCGCTGCTTATCAAATACCGATGACGATGCTGTTTTCTGGTGCCAAGCCAGCTAGAACCTCTTTGTCACACTACCCGACCAGAATTTTGCTGCTGAGGTCATTTCAGGTCAAGTTAGGTCAAGGTCAATTATATGTGTTTGTATGTCTGTGTGTGTCTGTGTGTATACTGATGTGTGCACCGGTTGTTTTTGGGTCTATATTACATGAAATCATGATCTGAGAAGCTTTTACCAAAAATGCAGTCAAAAAACTTCACAAAAAGTAAATTCAGCTTGCCTAAAACGCAATTATCTTAGATGACCTAGGTTGACCTTGACCCTGACCTTGACCCCTGTACATCGTCGAACAACATGTTCCATGATAGGTGGGAGGTAAGACTGGCAAAAAAGGCCGAAATCAGGGTGTCAAAAGCTCACAAGGCCCATGGCAAGCGAAAGATGTCGAGAATTGGCCATTTGGGTCATGACATGACCTGAAAAACAAGGTCATATCCAGGGGTGGATTTTTATATTAAGTTGGGGTTGCACGTGCAACCCCAACTTTGAATTGTGCAACCCCAACATCGGTTTGTGCAACCCCAACTTTACAACTGAAATAAATTGGCGGGCGACTCGAATACGTGCCGCCCCCATAACCCTGAGCCATCCCAAAACTCTATGCCACCCGTTGACTTGGCACCATCTTTGAAAAGAGCCCCACCCATCATGTAGGCAATAGGCACCCGTCAACTATCTAGTGTAGTTGCCGCCTCCTCAGACCTCAAATGTAGGTGCCACTCCCTCGAATGTAGGTGCCGCCCCCTCGAATGTAATTGCCGCCCCTCGAATGTAGGTGCCGCCCCCTCGAATGTAGGTGCCGCCCCCTCGAATGTAGGTGCCGCCCCCTTGAATGTAGGTGCCGCCCCCTCAAGTGTAAGTGCCGCCCCCTCGAATGTAGGTGCCGCCCATTAAATGTAGGCGCCATCCCCTCGAATGTAGGTGCCACCCCCTCGAATGTTGGTGCCGCCCCTCAAATGTACCTTAATGCCGCCCCTCGAATGTAGGGGCCGCCCCCTCAAATGAAAGTGCCGCCCCCTCAAATGTTAGTGCCGCCCTCTCCCTCGAATGTAGATGCCGGCCCTCCTCGAATGTGCCGCCCCCTCGAATGTAGGTGCCGCCCCCTCGAATGTAGGTGCCGCCCCCTCGATTGTTGGTGTCGCCCCCTCGAATGTAGGTGCCGCCCCCTCAAATGTAAATGTCGCCCCTCGAATGTATGCGCTGTCTCCTCGAATGTAGGTGCCGCCCCCTCAAATGTTAGTGCCACCCCCTCGAATGTAGGTGCCGGCCCTCCTCGAATGCAGGTGCCGCCCCCTCAAATGTTAGTGCCGCCCCCTCGAATGTAGATGCCGGCCCTCCTCGAATGTTGGTGCCGCCCCCTCAAATGTACCTAAATGCCGCCCCTCGAATGTAGGTGCCGCCCCCTCGAATGTAAGTGCCGCCCCCTCGAATGTAGATGCCGGCCCTCCTCGAATGTAGGTGACGCCCCCTCAAATGTTAGTGCCGCCCCCTCGAATGTAGGTGCCGGCCCTCCTCGAATGCAGGTGCCGCCCCCTCAAATGTTAGTGCCGCCCCCTCGAATGTAGATGCCGGCCCTCCTCGAATGTTGGTGCCGCCCCCTCAAATGTACCTAAATGCCGCCCCTCGAATGTAGGTGCCCCCCCCTCAAATGTTAGTGCCGCCCCCTCGAATGTAGATGTCGGCCCTCCTCGAATGTAGGTGTCGCCCCCTCAAATGTTAGTGCCGCCCCCTCGAATGTAGATGCCGGCCCTCGTCGAATGTAGGTGCCGCCCCCTCAAATGTTAGTGCCGCCCCCTCGAATGTAGGAGCCAGCCCTCCTCGAATGCAGGTGCCGCCCCCTCGAATGCAGGTGCCGCCCCTCGAATGTAGGTGCCGGCCCTCCTTGAATGCAGGTGCCACCCCCTCGAATGAAGGTGCCGCGCCGCCCCCTCAAATGTTGGCCCCGGCCACTTATGCATAGGTGTCATCGGTCATCCCATAAAATGTAGGTGCCGTCCCTTCGAATGTAGATGGCACCCCCTAGGGTATAGTTGCCGCCCCCTTAGGCCTAGTTGCAGTGCAGCCCCCTCAAATGTAGGTGCCACCCCCTAAGTGTAGGTGCCACCCCTTGAAATGAAGGTGCCTTTCCCTCACATGTAGATAGATGCCGCCCCCCCATGCGTGGGTGCCGCCCCTCAAGTTAGGGGTTAGCCCATAAAATGTAGGTGCCGCCCCCTCTAAGTGTAGGCGCTGGCCGCTGCCGCCTCGAGTGCAACTGCCATCGCCGCCCCCTCTTATGTAGGTACTACCCTCCTCTCAAGAGCTTGAGCTGTCACAAGGCCGTATAGAGCTGTCGGACATACAAAAATGACCAGTTAAAAAAAAAATCGTGGATTTCGATTCCTGTTGCGCCGTTCACCGCTCAGTGAGGGGTGGGGGTGGTGCCCAGTGGAGGTCGCAGGGGGGGCATCAGGGTCATGGACCCCCAAAGACAAATCAGGGGCCATCATATAATTTGCCCCCTTAAACAACCGATGGGCCCAGATGGGCGTAGGGGCCCTGGCTCTTACCCGATTGTCACGAGGCTCAAGAAACCAACGCCAGGTATTATGTAACAGCCCCCATTATACCGGTCTTTGAGTATCCTGACTTCTGAGGGCGCTTCAGTGGCCTTCAAGGGCCCACCTTGACCGATGAGGGCCCACATCGACCGATGAGGGCCCACATCGACCTCTCAGGGCCCTCCACTGGCCCTTGAGGGCCCTAAAGCGGCATCAGGAGTCCCCCAACCGGCCTTTGAAGGCCCCACACTGATCTCTTGATGGCCTCATCTGTCTCTGGGGTTCAGGACTGACCTTTGGGTGCCGGTCACTAAGAGCCCGCATCGACCTCTGAGGGCCTCAAACTGGCCTTTGAGGGCCCTGTTCTGGTCTCGAGGGCTCCCAAACTGGTCTCTGGGGGTCCACGCCTCTAATGCCCTCATTTCTTTTTTCTGGGGGACCAAGACTGGCCTTTGGGTGTCCCCGAGGGCCCGTACTGACTTCTGAAGGCCCGATGCCGGTCTCTAAGGGTCCACATCGGCCTCTGGGGTCCAACACCGACCCATGCTGGTCTTTTAGGGCCCCACACTGACCTCTGAGGGCTCCACGCTGGCCTGAAAGATACCACACCGGCATGCGAGGGCCCACGTCGGCCTCTGATGGTTCCAAACTGCCCTTTGAAGGCTCTGTACTGGTCTCTGAGGGCCTCACACTGCCGGTACGGACCCACGCTGGTCTTTTGAGGGTTCAAACTGGTCTCTGACGGCCCAAACTGGCCTCCTAGGGCCCAACACCGTGGCTTCGGATGGCCCAATTTCTGTCTCTGGCGGACAAAGACTAACCCTTGGGCACTTCTGAGAGCCCGTACTGGCTTCTGAAGGCCCGATGCCGGTCTCTTAGGACCAACATTGGCCTCTGAGGGCCCATCCTGGCTTTTGAGGACGCTCTGTCCGGTCTTTTAGGGCCCCATACTGACTTCTGAGGGCTCCACGTTGGCCTGTAGAAATCACACTGGCCTCTGAGGACCCACGTCGGCCTCTAATGGTTCAAAACTGACCTTTGAAGGCCCTGTACTGGTCTCAGAGCCCAGAGGGCCCTAAACTGGCTTCTAAGGGTCCCAAACTGGCCTCTGAGGGCCCCAAACCGGCCTCTAAATGTCTCACACCGGCTGCTGATAACCCCATTTCTGTCACTGACACCCAAGGCTGGCCCTTGTCCCTTGGGTGCCTCTGAGGGCCCCGTACTGGCTTCTGAGGGCTCTATGCCGGCCTCTGAGGACCCATGACGGTCTTTAGGGGCCCTGTGGTAGTGTGCTCCTCGATTGTCTCCCTGGAGCCGCCTCTGCGATGACTTGCCCGCTGGCGCATGGGCGGACGGCTGGGATCAGCGGGCGCGGTTGGAATGTGGACCAGTCTTGTTCGAGACACAATGCAAGCGGGAGCCCTACTGTCGCTTATAACAGGCCCCACACTGGACTCTGAGGGCCCCAAACTGGCCTCAATGGGCCCCAGTCGGTCTATGGGGTCTCTACACCGCCACTGATGGCCCTATTCTCTGGGGTGCCAGGTTAGTCTGGTCCCTGAGGGCCCACAGCGGCCTCTGAGCCTGGGGACCCCATACAGGCCTTTGAGGGCCAATACTGGCCTTTGAGGGCCCTACACCGACCTCTGAGGGCCCCGAATTGGGCTCCTCTGAGGGACCCACACTAGCCTCTGATGAACCCACTCCGGTCGCTGGGGGCTCAAGATTGAACTTTGGGTGCCTCGCACTGGGCTCTGAGGGCCCACATTGACCTCCGAGAGCTCCACACTGGCCTGTAAGGGATCATATTGGGCTGGCCTCTGATGACCAACTGGTTTTGGAGGGCCAGTACTGGCCAGTGGCCACTCAGGGTCCCAAACCGGCTTTTGAGGGCCATAACCGGCATCTGATGGACCGAACCGGACCCTGGTGGCCCAAAACAGGCCTCAGAGGGCCCCGCACCAGACTCTGAGAGTCCCATCTTTAGTCTCTGGGGTCCAAGGAAGAACTTTTGGCGTTTCATGCCGTCCTCCAAGGTTCCCTGTCAGTCTCTGTTGGTCCCCATGTCGGAATTTCGGAATTTGAGGGCCGTTATCTCGTCGCAGCGGGCCGGCATTAAGGTCTATTACCATATCGGGGTCACATCGGTTTCTGAGGCCCATGTCTGCTGCCAAGGGTCCCTGGTCTCTGATAGTTCCATTTAGGTCTTTGAGAGCCCGGGCCTGCCCATCATAGGCGCCTCATGCTATCTTCTTATTCTCTGCCGATCTCGGAGGGCCCCTGTGGATCTGTTTGGCCCGTGCAGGTTTTTAAGGGCCGCTGCTAGTCTCTGAGAGCCCCATTTCGTTAGTTGTGTCTATTTTGGGTCGCATTAGCACCACACATGTCTCTTAGGGCCTATACCAGTCAAGGGGTCCCACATTGACCTCTCAAGGACCAACGCTGGCCTCAAGGGCTCACACCATCTCAGAGGTTCCGAACTGGCCTTTGACGACCCCGCACTGGCCTTTGATGACCCCGGGCCCGCACTGGCCTCTGATGGCTCAGGCAGGTCTCGTAAGACCCACGTTGGAGTTCAAAGACCCATACTGCTGTGCGAGGTCTCACCCGGTTTATGAGGGTCAATCTCAATACTGGCCTTAAATGATCTTACGCCGGGCTATATAAGGGTCTCATACTGGTTTCAGAAGTTTTCCGCTACTTACGAAAAACTTCAGGAGGAGGGGGGGGGGCGGATATTCGTCCCCCCCCTCCGCGGTACGCGGGTTAAGCTAACACACCGCCCCCCAGCGAGGGTCTACAGGGGCCCCTTTGCTAATTCGCCCCCCCCCCCCCTCCCCCAACGCCAAGTTTACGACCGTACCTGGTGGCGCCCACTTCCAGACTATTGCGCCCCTCAGAACCGCTTTGGGCGCCCTTTCAGGGCTGTGCAACCCCAATAAAAAACAAAAAAATCCACCCCTGGTCATATCTCCGAAACCAAAAATCACAGAAACTTGAAATTTTCAGTGGACATCAAGAAAGGATAGAGGAGCAGCTATACGAAAAATCAGCCTTCTAGCTCTAAAAATGTTGAGTGCAGAGCAGAAAGACTACCTGGGGGGGGGGGGGGGTGGCAACCACCCCCCCCCCCATGTGCGGGCGAGGGTTAAGTGGTTAAACGTTTATTTGCACGGCAAAATAAACATTTTTAGGTATACCTTTACATCTAAATTCATTTTTTTCTTTTATTTATGTAGGTAAGTGTTTCTGCCTCTCTATTGTGCTATTTGTATTTACTTTGAGAACCCTCTCTCCCTCCCGGGTGCATCTGACGGATATCCGTTCCCCCGCAGGTCTGGTGTCGGAGAGCGACTGCGGTCACTCGGCGCTGGGGGGCGGCAGCTCCTCGCGCTGCTGCCGCGGCCACCGCTGTGCCAGCTCCACAGACGAGACGCGGCTCTACGACACGGATGACGAGGTAAGACACGCACCTCACCACCGAACAAAGCGGCTCCTCAGTCGGCGGAACAGCCGGCGTATCGTGCCGGGCGCTGCCCGCTGCCAGCCGGCGCTGCCCGTCTAACTACCATCTTGTTCTTGGAACGGCCTCTGGCCGGCCCGGCCCGGCCCGCCTTTCCGAGCTCGGACCGGCCGAGGCCACTGCGCCGGCGGGCCCCGCACGCGCTCCTCAGTCACGATTAGAATTCAAACAATGAGTCTGATGTAACGTTTCCCGAGCGGCGCGGCGCGCAGGCGGATCAAAGCAGCCGCGCCGACCGCTTCAATCGCAGCCGCCGCACAGCAAAAACCGGCCCGGCCATCATCCAAAATGGCGGCGCGCTGTGGCGTTTTTGTCGACGGCTGGCGGCGCAGCTGAGACTGGAACCAGTCGCAGCAACCACGGCTGGCCACAGCCGCTCACTGGCCCCGAGGCCCGAGTCCGTCAGTAGGTAGCCCCAGGCCTAAGGCCGGGCCTGGGCCTGAGGGTGCCATAGCCGGGCCGCCAATTTCGATCGCAGTACATCATGCTCTTCGTAAGCACAGCTAATTCGCTAAAGAATTGGCTATTGCGGCGTTAATGAGGCCAGCTCAAATGTACGAAATGTGATTTGGTTGATTCTTGTGGGGAATTTAAATTTTTCTTCCTGGATGGTATACGGTCACCGTTTAATGCCGTGAGCACAAATGCATCTGTGACTGAACGTGTATCGCACGGCCAGGCAACCTTTCATTATTTCACGACCTGCACACTCTGCCAGGCCTGCGCATCGGGTCACGCCGCGCCCACCGCCCGTTGAGTCCCATCGGGCTCTGGCCCGGCTTTTGTGATACCACTCCGGGAGGGAGGGGGGGCGGCGACAGCAGGGTGTCAGCACGGCTCGCGCTGCAGCCGGCCGTCCGTCCGGACCGTGCGACCGGTCCGTGTATTTGTACCGTGTCGGTTTCTCCGCGGCCTTGTCACGCCGAGGCTATCGCTGATGTCGCCGCCGCTTCAGTCGCGCCGCCCCCCCCCCCGGCCGTCGGGGGGGGGGGGGTACAGCTGGTCGGAAAGGAGGGCGTGCAACGGGGCTGCGGTGACTGTCCGCTACCGTAACTATACGGTTCATTGTCCAACGAAAACTCGACGGGCTTTATTTGTTTCGTTTATTGCTGAAGTGGATAGTTTTGGACGGCACGATGAAACGTTTATTTCATCGGGATATGGCTATGAACGACGTGAAATGATTGCTGGTCGTTAACTCTATGTGAAGTGATAGCTATACTTTTGACTAGATGGCATTCCTATTGAGCGCAAGGTCGTTATGAAACAAGCTGCATTAGCTCGTGCTTTCCGTCTTTGTTTAGGGTATAACACTCTTTTTGAAGTCGATTGAAGTCGAATTTTCCAACCGCCCACTGACGGGAAGTTTCTAGGCTCTGGTTTCTATCTGACGCAACGCAAGACCTTTTTTGGAGACTCGACGAGTGAAACGGCTTCATTGGAACGAAGCACTACATTCCTGGCTAGACGAAACCACTTCGTTCTGGCTTCAAACTTTGGCAGAATCGACGTCTGCATCAGAATATGCAGCATGAATCTGAATGTGTAATATCCTCACGCCTTATCGCGCCCAGTGAGCTCAGCTTGATTTGTAGGGGACATGGACCGGCTCGGCCGCTGACGCTTTGTATTATTCTTATTACAAATGCATTTTAGCGTCTGGACACTCGGCACATCAAGATAGCAGTGACACAATAGTTCCTTCTGGTTTCCGGGGTGCAACACGTCTTTGGCATGTCGAGAAGTAGCCCGGCTGGTGAATGGTTCCCGTTTTCACCGAACGTTTCGTGCCGCCGCGCGGCGCTCCGTTGGCGCAGGCCGGCGTACAGGCACAGGTGCGCGAACCACGCGGCTAGATCAAAGCTGAGCCGACCGACGACAGTCCCGGCCCGCCGGGGCCGCTCCCTCTCTTTCCGGCGACCCCACCGCTCTGCCGTGTTTCACCACCGCTGGCCAGGACGGAAATGGTCGGTCTCTGCTGCACTGATGTTGGTGGGGAGAGTGCTCTGGCTTCTGCCTATGGTGACGCGCTGAGTCGTGATGTGGATGCGGTAGTAGTTGTCTGACGTGCCGCCGTCAGTGATGTCAGGACCGACCGACCGGCTGAGGTCGCCGCTGCTGTGACGTCAGCGGTGCTGCAGTGACGTCAGAGGCGGCTGTTTACCGTCGGCGAGCGGCCGGCGTCAGCTGGCTCTGCCCGCCCGCCGCCGCCGCCGCCCAACTTCCTGTGGCGCCTCTTTGTTGTCGCCGCTGGCAGGGGGCGGCGCAGGGGAGGGCGCCGCCGCCGCCAGCCCGGCCGCTCCCACCGCCGAGCCCCGCAGAGGGGCCGCGCACTGCAGCAGGGCTCATCAGAAACACCTGTGAAAATCCCCCGGCTGTCGGAACGCCGTGAACCGACCGGCTGCTAAATGAGATCCTGTGCAGACCGCTGCCCGCGCGGCTGGTGCGTAAGAATGCGCGCCGGCCCGGCCCGGCCCCGGCGGCGGCCCTGCCTGGCGCGCCGGCCGTAAACGCGGCTATTGCGGCGCGGGAATTAGAGGGCGCGCCGCCGTCGTAAATCGCGCGCCGCGGCCGCTGCGCCCTCGGCGTGGCCTCTTTGTCGGCCTATCAGTGGCGGCCGTGCTGTGCAGCGGGCCGCGCCGAGGGACGGCTCGGCTCGGCTGCACTGTCGCGGCCCCGTCGCGCCGCAGTGTCGCCGACCAGTCGCGCCGTGCCGCGTGCGGTCGCCGCCGTGGCGCGCCCCGCGCCAATTAGTAACAATTTGCTCGGCCCAGTCGCGCGCAAGGCCGCGCGGCCGGTTTTTACGGACGCGTGGTGGTGCTGCGTCTGGAGCTAGGTCCGGGCACGGCGGTCAGACGGGCCACACCCGCCCTCCAGCCGGCGGCGGCGGCAGCCCTGTGTTTATAGAGCCGGCTGCGGCCGGTCCCGGGGGACAGGGTCGGTGCTGATGGCCGGCGCCGGGTCGCTGTCCCGCCGTCCGTCCCCGTCTGCCCGCCGGCCGCCCGGATATAGGCGAGGGCGCCGGCCGGTCGCGCGGTGTCTCTGAGGATGACCGTGCACCGTACCATCCTCTCCACACAGGCACACTGCTTGACAAAACGGGATAGCAGGGAAGAGGGAGGTGCAGAGATGGCGCGTGCAGCGCTGCGGGAAGAGGGATCCGCGTCATCAGTGATGGGGTGTCATAAGCCTTCGGCTTCCCGCGATAAGGTTTTACGAGCAGGCGGTGTGTTGTGGTTTATTTCCCGGTAGAGGTAGTGCCTATCTCGTACGTGTTTCTGTTGCAATGTTGTGATTGCAGTGGCCGGGACTCCGCAGTGTGTCCACTCTCCACTCATTTCCAGGCAGCTGCGCACTCGGGAGACCAGTTATTCGCACGTGGTACTCAGAGCTCTCCTTTGTAGCGCTGCACGTGCACATTCCAGCGGTTACACAATGCCACTACAGGTTAAGTCATCATATCTGCGGTCGCAGTGACGAACGATGACTGTTTATGTCAACTCTGTGAAGTGTTTGTACTGAGGCTCTAGTTAGCAGCGGCGGCCGTTTGATCCGGTGACCCGTCCCCTCTCGGCTCTTGAGGGAAGGGGCGGCTCAGGAGTTACCTAATCCTAATGCTCACGAAGCTGCCCCGTCATTGTGCATTGAGCGGCATTTTGGTGACCCACTGATGACGTCATGTCGGTGTGTCGGTGACCCCCTTATGACGTCACGCCGTCCGTCTGTCCTCAGGATGAGTTCAGCGTGGGCTCGGCCGCCACGCCTCGTCAGCTGAGTCCTCCGGTGACCCCGCAGAGGTCAGGGTCACCGCGACCCGAGAGCCGGTCACCCAAAGACGAGTTCAACTTCACCCTGTACGACTTCGACGGGCATGGCAAGGTCACAAAAGACGTGAGTAACCTTCCGAAATGTCAGCATGAGATTGGCCGAGATATCACGGCGGCCTACTGCCCGCTGCCTTTCGAACGTGCTCGTGAATCATGAGTGTTAAGTCGTGAACCCCTGTAGTCCGTGATCGGGACCGGCATCATGAGTTTTATCGGGGTACCGGATGTCTCGAGACTCGACCGTCTGGGATGTCAACTGTCGAGCCTTTGGGCACGATGGACGCCGGGGATGTCCACACGTGGTCCACACCTGGTCCACACAGTCAGAGACCAGTCCTGATCCCCACCCGTGCCGTCTCGACCACTCCGTTTCAGAGACTCCGGTGCCGCCCGCGGCTCGCCCATAGCCGGACGTCCGTGTGGTTATCGTACATCCATCAGAGAATCGCACCTCTATCGTGTCTGGCCGCTGTGTCCTGATGTTGGATTACTTGGCCACACCGTGATGTCGTCTGTGTTATTCAGATTAGGAGAAAACTGAGTCGGGCTCCAGCAAAATATATTCCATTGAATGGTTCACTGTATGGTCGCCTGCTCATAGGACGCTCTTATTCTTCTTATACCAATATCGCCATTTAATGGTTGCTGTGGTAGGTGCGCTCCTGTATTCGTTTCTCACCCTTTCATACACCCGACCTGTGGCCAGCGGCAGCCGGTGCCACGGCTGCTCTTTCCAAGGCCAGAGCTCGGTGCGTGTTGGGCCAGCGATGGCCGGCGCCTGGCATTGGCAGGGGCTTAGTGCGATCCACAGAAATGCATCGCATTGTCCAACTGCCGTGTAATGTCCGACAATGAAAATGCTCGTGCCGATGTCGCTCGATTGTAGCGCGAGGCATGCGCGCGGCGGGAGAGCGGGCCAGCCGCTGGCGCGCGGAGACCGCCAGCACTGCGCCGGTTACGTACCAGTCGGTAGTCACCGTCTTTGATCCCGCCGCCGTCGGAGATGGAAAAAGCTCTGCGGTCGGTGTTTTTGTCATATTTCTTGTTCATCAAACTCCGGAGAATTCGAGGAACTGCGATCATGTAGACGAACAAACAACATATCGAGTAGTACTGGAAATATTTCCATTCCAAACATTTGCTGGTTAATCAGGCTTCCGAGCTCAAAGCTGGCTCTTGTTGCGGTTTCGGGACGAGCTATTCAGTACGGTTTGACTTCATTTCCTGTGACAGTAAATCAGAGAGCACAAGCCGTAACTGCGCAGAAGAGGTCAGTAATACCACAGCGTTCCTTTGAAATCTATTTTGGTATACGTTCCCGTGGGTTCTGATGAAGTCTCGAACTCAGGAGGGCGGTATAGGTAGATTCACCTTTTGACCTCGAGCTCTCACCTGTGCTGGTTTTCGGCGACGCAAAACGTCGGATCGTCCCGATTAGGGCATTTATTAATTGCCTTCCATCGGATAGGCATTAATTATCCTGCTTTTGTGCGCTATTACCAATTATTGTCGACTCATTCTTCCCTGGAATGCCTCTTTGCCTCGTTGGATTTTTATCCATCAGCGTCTTATTTGCCTAACTTTTAACCGATCCTTGATTCATACCATGAGTCATTGTTAGTGTGTATCTATTTTATTTACATCTCATAACGAGAAACGGCGTCTTCTGATCTTGTCTCATCCATGACTCATAAAGACACCTATACTATTTAACCAACAGTGTTGGGCCACCCGCGTGGCTCGTCTGGTGATGGCATGGCTCAGTTAATTCGGATCACTGCACGGCCACGGACGGTCACGGGCCGCCCCTCCGTATATCTGATGTCCGGCTCACGGCGCGAGATGGCACGCAGCCCGAATTCCTTTCTCACTCTCGGTCACGAGCGTCGCCAACGTCCCTTAGCACTGCCTTTATATGTCCCGGGTGGCCGCCGAGGCCGACTCACTCCTCACGTCGTGATCGACTTTTTCGCTGAGTTCTCACTTTTTCGGGGCGGCGCTCGCCGTGCTGGCTGACTTATCCTGTGCGCGGTCGGTTGGTCTGGTCATGGCGGTGTCATAAGCTGCACGGGGTGCGCGACGGCCATCCCGGCCGGTTCCCACGTGAGCTCCGCCGAGCGATGAGTCAGTGCCGACTCTAATCGGCCGGCCGATCTTGGCCACATGAATGACGAGCCAGGCGAAAAACGCCGGCCGCCGGGTTAAGCCGAGCCATTGTCCTGTCACAATGGGATCAGAGAAGAGCGGCCGGCGAGCAGAGGCCGGCGAGCCTCCCCGGAGGCCGCCGTGGGCCTCTCAGGACGCACCCCGCCCGAGGCTGGTGTGCGCTGAACTCGGGTCACGTCGAGTCAGCCTGCTGGTTAGTAACTATTCTATTTGTGGTTACTACATCGGTAGTTTAGTTCAAGGAAGTAACCGGTGCCCCGCCGCCGCCGCCGCTCCGTCCGGACCAGTTCTGCCGCTGTGGTTATCGCCGTCTTTACACGGCCAGTTGTACTGGTTGATTGGCCGGGTTGTTGTGAACAACAGGTGTCTGGCATGCTTCGATTGTGTACCGGCGGCGCCTTACGGGGTCTAATCACCAGCTGGGTCACTATTAGACAGCTGGGCAATGTAGCGGCATTGGTAATCCGGTGTTCGGGACAGCACGCCACGCTGGGGCCTGTCCCCGAGCGGAAATGTCACACCTTGTGTAGACTGGATGACGAGGGACTGCACAATGACTATCAATTCAGTAGTCACCGTGTTTTGTATTGCATCACTGTCACTGTCTTGTGGCGATTGTGGTGTCCGCTGCCCAAACCGGTAGAAGGAAGCCGTTGACGGTGTCATGTCTGTCGTGTCCGTGCCCCGATTTGTCCGTCGGTGCCCGCCCATTGCAAGTGTTTTCAGTGCCGTGTTGCGTTGTTAGTTGTTACTAGCCTTGTGCCTCAGCTTTGTACCCATACTGCAGTGCTGACGCCACACTTTTGTGCCTTTTCAGGACATTGCCGGACTGGTCCGAGCCATCTACGACGTAGTCGGCTCGTCCGTACAGGTGCCGCCGAGTGGCAGCAAGACCATCAACGTGAAGTTGACCGTGACGCCCGAGCGGCAGCCGCAGCGCGACCTCAGCATCACGGTCCGCAGCGCCGACGGCGACGGCCGTCGGGCCAAGGACGATCTGGAGCTGCGCGCCGAGCCGCCGCGGCCGCGGTTCAACTCGATGCGCGGCGCGGCGCCCCCGACCTGGCGCACCAAGTCGCCCGAAAGGGCCGGAGGATCGCCCCCGCTGCCGCGTCGCCAGCTGCCCTCCGACCCGGTCCGGCACCGGCACCTGGTGGAGCTGCTGCAGTCCAGCATCGAGAAGAACAACCTCAAGTTCAACAACCTCAAGTGAGTAACTAATCGCCGCTCTAATTGTTACGGGAGTAATCCTAAGATTGGTTCTCTAAATCTAGTGGTGATGAATTTGCCGCTGAGGGGATTCCGTTATCGGCTTGTTCAGGGAAATGAGCACAGATTGGCCTGGTGCGTTAGTCCTGGCTGGGCTCTCTCTAGTTTTTCCTACTCCTACGCTTCCCGTCTGACCTCCATCCACTGGAGGTGTGCCGGTCTGCGTGGGAGCGGCCCCGACCGCCGCTGTTGGCCGCTCGTTGGAAGGGCTGTCGACTCCCCACGGCGGCAGGAATCCACAGCACGCCGACGGCCCACACCAGTAAACAGGCCCGTCGGCCGACCGGCCGGATCGGCTCTCACCCCTTTGAAGGCGGCCGCCGCCCGCCGGCGGCGCGCGGCACACCGTCCCTCCATGGCCGCCGACAGAGGCGCGCCCAGGGTGGCTGCTATGGGGGGAGGGGGAACTATTATCAGGGGTTAGGGGACGCACGATGAGCTCGAGTGACTGAGATCAGGCGACGCGGTCGTTGAGTTCGGAGTAGACCCAGTCGGTCGACCCGAGTTGTCGCACTGACGCCGCCTCTGTCCGCCATCAGATACGGCCCGGCTCGGGGCAGCTGGAGCGGCCGACCGGCGCCCGCCGCCGGCCGGCTGGCCTTTCATCATTTGGGCGGCGCGCCGACTCGGTCTAATGTGGCTCCCCAGTCCCCAGGCCGCCGCCGCGACACTGCGCCGTCGCGCAGACAGCGGTGGCGCTTTCTTTTTCCTAGAACATGGCGACTTGAGGTCCGTGACGGTCGCGATATCTCGATTTTCGCGTGCGCCTGGGCGGCGGTTACCTCAGAAGTATGATCTGCAGGTATATATCAGAGCCACCGGGAAGAGTTACCGCTCCTGATCCATCGGATTGCGACACTGTGGCGACCACATCGCCGCAGGTCACGCTGGCTCTCCGTAAAGAGGGGAATCACGACACCGCTCGGAAGTTCGTTAGTCCGAACCAGTTGCTGAATGCTGGAGGAATGCGACCATTCGAAGGACGCTGTCACGCGATCAAAGTTTCCCCGGTCGCGGTCTACCGACATCTAGGCTTATCCGCACGCTATTCGGCCGAACTAACGGCTCGCCTTTGACGCGCTGTGGGCATACCGGTTATAATTAGTGGTGTTCTGGATGGTTCGAATTCCGGTGACTTTTAGTCCATTCACGCGACAAAAAGTGTTAAATCCCGACTTCATTGATAAAAGATAACGTTGTTGTGGATTGTTCACAAATGCTAATGGTTATTATCCTAATTGGAATCATCACGTGCCCGTGTTCGCTGGTTCCATGTCGCCACTGTGTGCTAACATGTCCTTTCCTTTGTTTCAGACGGCACAACTCTGAGCGAGAGACGGGCCGAGCGCGCGGTTCGAGCCGCACGCGGCCGGAGGTCCCAGCCGAGCCCGCTGCTACTGGATGTCCCCACACGACGCCCTGCAGCCTCTGCGTGCGCGACCGGTGGAGCAAGCGTCACGCGGGCTGTCGCGGGCGCCGCTGCCAGCCTACCGCCGCTCCGGCCCGCGAGTATGAGGACGACTATGAGCTGCTGGCGCGCTGTGCCGAGTTCGCGCTGCGAGGCGCCGGTGGAACAGCGCCGGAGCCGCGGCCCCGCCCGGCCCGGCGCGACACGGCGCCTCGCGCTGCCGGCTCACCGCACCACCATATGAAGCACCGCAACCGCGAGCGAGATCACTACCGCGCAATGCAGCAGGTGCTCAACTGGCTGGAGCGGGAGCACTCGGCGCCTCCGCCGGCCGCTGAGCCGGAGCCATGTCACTGCGAGGAGGAAGCACCGCCCCCGCCGCCGCCGCCGCCTCCACCACCGCCGCCGCCGCAGCCGCAGAAGGTGGAGCATCACCACATGCACGAGCACGTGCACCACCACTATCACCACTTCCCCAAGGACGCGGTGATTTTGTGAGGCTGAGCGGACGCGGGGCGGTGTGAGGCTCGCTCGCTCCTGTGACTCGCGAGCGGCGCTCGGATACACGGCCAGGCCACTCTTGCCTTCGAACGTGTGACCGTGCGACATTTCTACTCAGTACAAGTGAGCGATCAAACAGTGGGAGGCCAGCTCGGGGCCGTGTGCCGTCTTGAACGGCCCGAGCGCATCCGAACGCGGCTTTGGCAGCGCAGCAGGACCTCAGTACAAAGTGCTGCGAGCGTTTTTCTCGGTTTGGCCTCTAGTCTGGCTCGCGGGACCGCTAGACTGACTATCTCTACCTCCAATGTGCTCAGAGGGCCGGCCGGCCGGGCGGCTCGGCGGCATCTCGTCGTGTATATAGCGCCAGTGATGGGTCGGCCAGGCCCGCGGCGGTCTGCCGTGGTCGGGTCTGGCCGGCCCGGCCCGCACCTGACGTAGATCTGACTTGTCTGAACGGAGACGTGGCGGAACGACTCCAGACCTCGCCACTGGGGAGGACCGCCTCTCTCACTTTATAACCGGCCAATTCGACAAGTGTTCGTCTCCGTTAGCCATGGCTCGTTCGTGATTGGTATTATTTATGATATATTTCCATTAATTTGTTAGTTATTTCTATGCTATGATGTGTTTAATGCCGTGCGCGTTTGGTACCAAGTACTGACGAAATAGATAAGACGAATGAAATGAGCTCGTGTTGCCTACGTCAACATGTGTAGCGATCGAGAGGAGGCCTGAACGACTTTCATTCGGATTTTGGGGACGACTGAGCGAAGGCGAATGTTAGGCCGTCGACCGTCGAGTCGGCGTAGCTGTAGTCAGTTGGACACTGCATGACCGATGCCCAGCGCTCAATCATCTCATTTCCTGGGGAAGTGATGAAACGATTGAGCTAAACTCAGTTATTCGGAAATTTTGGTTGAGAACCACAGTTGAAGGAACAGTTGATTTGAAATGCCGGTTGATAGGACCTTAGAAAGCATTAGCACATGTTATGTTACATATCGCAGCCTTCAGATTTTTTTTTTTTTTGCAGCATCGTATATGTGTTGTTGCGGGACTGTTGCGGGTACGGCTCGGACTGCACAGAAAGACAACTCGATGGCCTCTATCGTTCAACACTACGCGCTTCAGCCTCAACAATGTGTCCAGTCTTTCCCGCTGCAGCATTGATAGTCCCATTACACCGTTCCGTGCTTCTATCCTCAGGATACTGAAATCCTTTTCCTCCACGCCGCAACCCCCTCCGGGCTGGACAGTGGACAGGCAACTTTATCTCATGCGGGCTGCTCCCTTGGAGCGGCACCGCTGCTCCCGAGGGAGCGCACCCCGTAGCCGGGTGCAGTGGGTGCCTTGGGCTGGATGGCCTGTCCTCTGGACGGGCTCAGCCCCGGCGACTCACTAGGGTGCCTGCCCAGACCAATGTCTCCCCCTATATCCTATCATCCTCCCGGCTCTGAAATGGTCTCATTGGACCGAAAGGGCCTAACCAAAAAAAGGATAGTCCCACAGAGGCCGGTATTATTGCCAAAGCATTGCGGTGTTGCAACGATAACGAAATTAGAGAATGCCTGCTCAGATCTCATCAACCTGCGGCTTTTCAGATGCATCTTGCCGGCTGGCCTCTCTTCGCGGCATCGCGTAGTATCAAAATGAAATAACGGCGGTAAAGGATTGGACTTCTACTGAACTGACTAAACCGACTGAAGCAAGTAGGCGCGCACCAAAAGATAAGTTCACAGTACACACATTGTGCGGTTTCAAGCAAGTATCACCACTTGTGATCCACATGGGCACGGTTACTTCATGCAGAGGCTGCTCACGCTCATTCACCACTACTTTGCCGTAAAAGGCTGTCTACGGGCGAGGTCGCGCTCAGTGCTGCCATCTATGTGTATTCTGAGACTGCGCTGCGCCTGGTCCCGACCGCCCCCGACAATCACCAAGTCCCAGGAAGACGCGACTTGCCGACATCACGTCATGCTCTGGAGCTTCCTCACGGCAAAACGGGTCGCGTTGAGTCACAACTGATTTACATCGAAAGACTTGAGCACGCTACTTGTATTATAATCAGTACTACGCAGACATAAAATATCAGATACCACACTACACGTCCACCTGACGAGACACGGAAGTTGGGCATGGCCCTAGACATGACGCACCGAACAATAGGCATAGGAAATAAACTGTATTTGTAACAAGTACGCAGATATGGACCATAGCTGTACGTATCACTGCACTAGAGACAACAGAACTACGTGGAAAAAATAACGGCATCGAATGCGAGGAGCAGCCGCGGCCTTGTACTGATAAATCGACCCGACATAAGAAGAAAAATGGCGTGTATGGATACCTGTCTAACTTACACAGCGCCATGGCGCGCTCACTTGTACAGATTGGAGACACATAGGAAACGCGAGCGTATTCGATACCTGAGTTACACTCTGGCACCGGAAGCCAGCCGATGGGCTCCGGGCTACCGTACACCTCACACACAGACAGAGCGGCCGAAAAATACCTCACCGCCGGCGGGCCCCGGGCTACCGCGCACCCCACACACCGGAGAGCGGCCTTAAAAATACCTCACGGCCGGCAGGCGGCATCGGCCACACAGATGCCCTGGAAGTTGGTCAAATACGCGCTCGGTTCGAGGGAAGGGCGAGGTAAGAGAGCCATCGGCCGGCGCCCGGCGAGCGGCCGCGAGAGGCGCCCGCGACCCGAAAAAAGCGGCATCCAGGCCCGCCCGACGCACTTTGCGAGACGGCGACCGGGTCGGCGCTGCCGCTCGTGAATTCCGTGACGGTGTCACGAACGTCACGTTACCGTTATTCGGCCGAGTATGGAGCACCATCGCCGTCCGCGATGAGGTGTGCGGTATCCCATCAGAGTCTGTCGCTCCATTGAAGCCTCCTGGTGTCTCGCTCATACCGAAACACAGTCAGACACGAGTCATCTCGCACGTCAGTAGCTACTGACACAAGTCTCGAAAGCCACCATTTCCGAGGTGCAATTAGGGAGGCTCATCCCGCCTCCGACGACGGGCCGATTTCACACCACTCGTCCGGCCCCACAGCAGTGTTAGAGTTCGCGCGAGCTGCATACGCATGCCGAGTCCCCTGTCATCCCGTCTCATTGGCGACAGGACGCATCAGATCGTCACAGCGGTTAGACACAATTATCTGTCATCAAAGTCAGATCGACAGTCATTGCAGTATCAGTTGTATAGAATTGTCACCTCAGCTGTAAAAGAAGCACAGTCGCCGGCTGCCACCGCGCTGGCTGCATCCACGGCCCGTTCTGCCTGTTTTCCTCAGTGCTCCGTCCGCCCAGCAGACACCCAGCCGCGATGCAGCCTGCATGTCCCAGCCCGCAGTGTCTACAGGGGAGCCTTGATGTCGTCGGCGGCACAGCTGCTGCTCAGCGTCTTTTTGACGCGCAGGACGGTGAGCCGGGCGGCGGCGCTGTGGTACCAGCACTCCTTCATCACCTTCGACATGACGCGCAGAGCCTGAGGGAGAGAGTGCCGTCAAACTGAGGTTACAGGAAGATACTACTGTCAAGCCCGAGTACCAGCACTCCTTCATCACCTTGGACATGACTCGCAGAGCCTGCCGGCGGAGAGACGGTCAGTCAGTGGAATATCATCATGCACCTTCTCCACACAGTGTGATGAAATTTTGTTGTATACATGCAACACATAACCAACTAGGAAGGGTTGCTCAGATCACACAAACTGGCGCTGTCCGTACACGGGAGCTCGTCACTGACGAACACTGTCGAGCACCGGAATCGCTTCTCACTAGGTAGCCTAGGACGGATATGATTGCCGCCAACCAGCAGAAAATGGAAAACAAGGGACCCCAGGGGTACCGGAAACAAAGAAACTGGGCTGGGTGGCCAGATCAGCAGTCGCTACGCCGGTAAGAGATGTGAGGAGACCCCCCCGACATCATATGCTTGGTGAACACGAGTAACAACTAATAACACATCTCATAGGCATCTCAGTGGTGTACGGGGTAGTTGCTACTGTACACGAACCCCAACTCTAGCCGTCTGTCCTGTCCAGTAACAACCTATAACATTGATATCGACCGCCGGGCCCTGTACAAGAGCAGCTGAGGTTTTCTAAGCGTGCCCTCTGGCAGCTTATCGTTGTTCCCTGTGAGGGTGCTGGGACAATTTACTCAGGGTCGCTGTACAGTAGCAACTGCGGGTCCCCTTACTAGTACCGGTGACATTGGTGTACTGGTACCGCTCCCTGCGGTGTGATGGCTCAGCCTTTCAGTCACAGCCGTCGCCTACCGCGCGATAGAAGTCCAACACAGGGGGCGCCAGTAACCCATGACGCAATGCAGACCGGCCTCTCGCAGAGGGCGCCTCATTGCATGACAATGCATTAGATCACGGCAATCACGAAACGGCTGAATAAAATTCCCATTTTTCGTGAAGCAAAAGCCCTGTGGTGTCATTGTTGCATACGTTTGAGAGATTTTTAGAGACGGCCAGAGACGGCTCGGCTTTGGGGACGGAAAACAACCCGTCTTCAAAGGCACCGTTCACGCTATTTTAAGCCCGACCAAACGCGAGCATCCGGTTCGCCCTTTTTGAAATGTGTGAGACCCCTTTCACCGTTATATGGCAGCAAAACAACTATCACGGAGACTGGAGTCTCATGACTGTCAGTCGTCCGGTTCTGACACTGAGCCATTGTCAGTTGCAAGGGCTTATAGTTTCAAAGGCCCGGCGCCGCTATGGCTTCGGACGACGCCGATCCAGACTCTCAATGTCCGCTATTGGAGCTTCTCAAGTCTCAAGAACCCGCCATAGTCATAAATGCTGGTACGTGGTAACATACCCAGCACCTAACCATTCACCTACGCAACCTCCCCCGCGGTCAAATTTCGGTAAAATGCCCGAGTCTCCCCAAAAAGATCTAGTCGTATCTCCAAAAAACCTCGCTTGAAGCCACATTTCCTCCCCACTCCTGAACCTGATCCTAATTAAAACATAAAACAGATCCAGCCAGCATCTCTTTCAAGCATACGCCAGAGAGCTCCTCTCCTTAACCACCATACAATTCCTAAGCAGCCCGCTCGCCAAACAACCACTCTCACCCCAACTCGAGGAGACATACTCCCTCCCTACCCCAACACCCAAAACATCCCCTCCCCACTCCCACCAGACAGTCAGATTCTCCCCGCACCAAAAACTTCCTCTAAACGGACCAAAACAAAAATACTCCCCGGCGTGAGACGGCTGCGCAGCGAACTCTCTGGAGCGTCATCACGTTTTCCTACCGACCAGGAAAACCGCGCGCCACGCTCCCGCCATTATTGGCCGCATTTCTGCACGACAGTACCATACTTATGCAATTAATGTCACCAGAACGATCCAAATGACGAAATCATCAGTCCAAAAATGACATCAAAATGAACGGAATTTCGACTGGTCAGCTTCGATTTCGCACTTTTTAAAGCCTTGTCTATTGTCTTGAACAATGAAAATAGCATGTAACATACTAAATAGGATCTGATCCGTTAGTTCCGAAATTGCAGTATAGGTATATCGTCATAGCAGCGTCATAGCAACCACCGCCATTCCATCGTGTGAACAGTTCAAGTGATTCAGCACTGGAATAGAACTGGCAGATCTAACAGTGCAACACGGGGGGGGGGGGGGGAGGGACCGCGGGGTCGCGATAGTTGTTACTGACAGCTAGAAGTTTTTTGAGGGCGCGTAATATGAGGGGGAGGGGGGGGTGGAAAGATAATCGGTCGAAAGTTGTCGGAGGCTTCAGTTTTCTGAGCATGACGCAGAGGGTACGACTGGTACGACTAAATCCCGCTATATCATTGTCCATTGGGAAGGGCATGGCAGCGAGACAACCACAGGGCGTCAGGAAGGTCCTGCTCCTGACGCTTGTCTTGGACGCCGTCTAACGCGCGCTGTGATTAGTGGACATTCAGCCAATCTCCACGGGCATGACCCCTCGTTGACCAGTCATCTCAATCTGCGGGTCGTGCAAATATGACGTTGAACTCGTGTTCAGTGATGGGTAGATGGGCGAAAATGCACCTTGTCGATGATGTTTACGCGCGGCGGTCGGGTGCAACTTGAAAGATGCACGAGTTGCAGAACAATTCAGCGTTTCTCAGTGAACTGCTCAGCAGGTGAAGGCAATGATCCGAATCGGGAATTCCTTCAAATACTCTCAGGGCCGAAACGAACATGGTATGTCAAAAGTCAAAACTGCCGAGAACGTAGCAGCAATTCAGCGGCCATCGAAGAACATCCCGGGGTCTGATGGACATGTCCAACCATCTTCGTCGACGTCAAATAAATGAATAACAGGCTGGTCTAGAAGGGGTTCCTGGACAGGCATATCAAATCGAGATTCAAGGGAACGACCACTACATGTCGTAGATATACAGTGGTCTATGCCTCAACCCGCTCGACTAGGGCGTGTCGAGCGTTCTGCAGAATTAGCTCCAGGCCACCTCTCAACCCCACCTGTAGTCGCAGGAGACTTGCATCATGGCAGCATGAAAGAATCTGGGGATGTCCTACATCGCCAAAACCCATAGGCGCTTCTGCCCCGCGTCCAGGCCGTCGTCGGCGCAGACGGTGGTTACATTGAATGAGCAGTTAACGGAAAGGTGTGGCTTGGACGTGTCCCTGGCCATGCATTGTTTGAATCTGTTGCTGAATATGTATGAACCAAACGCATTTGTAAAAAAAAATGTTGAAAAGCGCGAAGAATTTCCGAACACCCTGCAAACTGTCATGGGTCATCTACACCTAGTTAGATCGTCCTGGATATCGTTGGATATTCAGCCAGTGAGGGCATAGCACATAATAATTGAGACTTACGACTACTGAGCCCTACGTTTGGGCTCCGATCTCGAGCTACAAGTCAGAGTGTCTATGAAGCGCACTCCAAAATTTTGAAACTGATTGTTTGTGGGGGGGGGGGGGGGGGTCTTTTTCAGTCTGTCTGTCTGTCTGTCTGTCTGTCTGTCTGTCTGTCTGTCTGTCTGTCTATCTGACTGTATCCACTCTCTATCTCACCTCTGAGCTCTGCCACTGGTTGGGCATGGAGGGCCGCTGTCTGTCTGTCTGTCTGTCTGTCTGTTTGTCAGTCTCTGTCTGCCTGTCTGTCTGTCTATCTGACTGTATCCACTGAACATCTCACCTCTGAGCTCTGCCACTGGTTGGGTATGGGGGCCGCTGTCTGTCTGTATGTTTGTCTCTGTGTCTGTCTGTCTGTATATCTCACCTCTGAGCTCTGCCACTGGTTCGGTATAGATGGCCGCTGTCGGTCCACGCAGACCACTTTGCGCATGTCCTCCAGACTGGGATCGGCCGACACCAGGTGATGATACGGCGGCTGGTACTCGTGTGAGCCCGTACCGCCGGCCGTACATCGGCTGGCTATCTCCCAGAGTACCAGACCCAGAGCGTACACGTCGGCACGCTTGAACGACTCGAACTGGTGCATGTTGATGGATTCGTCCAGTACCTGGCGGGGAGGGGGAGGGGTGTCAAGATAGGGGAAGCTATGGGAGAGGAGGGACGAATCTTCAACATCTTTACAAACTACGTTTTAACATTGTACCTCGTAACATCGTACATCATATAGTGTACAGTCGTGTACAGGTTGATGGTCCCCTACTCTTTATCCACCGGGTTCCTATGGCTCAGCATTGGCAGCAGCCGCCTGGTACCGGTAGGCTGTGCCGCATGACCCGAGAGTGAAGCGGCACAGCCTACCCACACTGTATGACACCGGCTCGGGTCGCCTGGTAGAGCGATTTGACCGGACGCTGCGTTACACCGGCTGGGGGGAGGGGGGGGGGTAAGGGTCAGGCCTGTCTAACCTGTCTAACCGGCCCGCCTCCCCGCCGGTTCGCTGACAGGTCGCGCCCCGGGGCGCTGAGGCTCGTCATGGCTCGGCTCGGTGGATGAGGCGGGCTGGAGTGTGGTGTGGGGCGGGGGTGATGTGGGGAGGGAGTGAGCGGACCTGGGGCTGGGTGTGTGTGGTCACTTGTCGCATAGAACCGATCGTAATCCACCCTCCAAAAATTCGCTTTAGAGATATTCACAAAACCCAGGGGCGTTCAAACACCCATCTCCCAAGTGGGGTGCGGAAGGACAGGTAAGGGTCCATACGGTCTTCTCATGAATTGCAGCAAAGAAAGAAAACAGACCTGTCACCAAATAATCTTTCTGAAAAGTGGACTAATCGCATAGCCTCGGACACAGAAATAAACATCCAGCACGCGAAGCGTCTTGAACCGGCCCTCTCACAACCGGTCGGTTTGACAGTCTAGCACTCCTACGCTGAGCTACACCGGATGGTGGCCACGGCCGGGGCAAAGTCTGGCCGGACGGGCGGCGGGGCAGGGAGGTCGGCAGCAAAGTCAATGAATGTTTTTGTGGTTTCGGGTGCCGGTCGCTCTAGCTTGGTGGAATGATGATGGATCATTGGTAAAACTTTCAACGTGGAGTCCCGGTTCGAGCCTCATCGGGGCTCCGGCTACTTTTCCGAGTTAGGATCTGGTTTGATTTTAGTGGTTACGAGCCATTTATACGGTTTTATATTTACATGTCGATTGTCGATTGATTGATTGATTCATTCATTCTTTCATTTAATACATGTCGACATTTAGCATACGAATTGACATCCAGGATCAATCCGATCAATCTACCATTTTCATAAGCGTATTGCCTAAAATGCATATATGTGGCACAAGACCTATGGTTGCCTCGATACCGTGCCAAATCACGTTTTGCACAATGCACAAGTAAATTATATTCGCTGGGCCTTCCGTGCATTGTGTTTAGCAAAAACAGGAATGCAATTGTTAAGCGACGCAAAATGTGCAATGCAGCAAGTGACCACACACACCCGCCCAGCCCCCATTGTCCACCAACGCGCCCCACACCACTCGCCAGCCCACGCCAACCACCGAGACGAGCCCCTCCCCCGCGCTGGTCTGACGCGACAGCTGGTCTACAAAGCGCTCCACCCGGCGACCCGAGCCGATGTCAAACGGCGTGGGTAGACTGTGCCGCTTCACTCTCGGGTCATGCGGCACAGCCTACCGGTACCAGGCGGCTGCTGCCAATGCTGAGCCATAGGAACCCGGTGGATAAAGAGTAGGGGACCATCAACCTGTACACGACTGTACATCGTAACATTGTAAAGGGACGAGGTTCAGAAGAGTGGAAGTAAAGGAAAGGATGCCAAATGGGAGGGAGGGATTGGTGCAGTGGATAGAAGGTGTGGGAGGAGGGATGGATGGTTGGAGTTCGCGGGAGTGGTGGGGGAATTAGAGGAGACGTGATAGCCAACACCATGTACGTGATAGCCAACATCACCAAGGCCATACTTTGACAATTGTGATCGTGCCGCATGAATAAATATGAATATATGAGACGTATGTAGAAGGGGTGATTTGACATTACAAGACGCCGGTTTGACGGTAAGGCATGATAGTTCACTCACTATATCGACTCACACAGCGTGAGTTCACCACTTCGATAGAGCGAAACTCGCTGAATTTGAACAGTGAATGTCTGATTGCATTTGATCGCATTTTGCGAGCGTCATCACCCGGGTCCAAAACAGCCAACAGCTAAACCAGATGGCGCCAGCGTCTCCCAGGCTCACGGCACAAAACGTTTGGAACAGGGAAGCCTTTGTGAAGATAGGGAAGGTTGAACCGCTCATCTCAACCAGTTGACAGGGTCACAGTCATCCGGCTCATTGACAGTCATTGACAGTCATTGACAGTCATACCGCCAGTTTTCAGAAAACTCGGCGGTAATCTAACTGTGACTTGAGAAATGGACAGCAGGTCATCCGAGCAATCAGACATTCGCTTACATTTCGTAAAATCAAGCACTTTATCATATTTTCCATAAATACTAACGACTGCACCACTGCTGACTGCTCAGGTGCTGCAGGCCTTCGCTATAAAACGGGCAAAACTTGACCCAGCCCCCACCCCACCATCCCTTCAATAAATCGCACATTTCTCCCCTGTACCACTACCGCTATCCTCCCTGCTATACTAACCTCGGGTGCCATGTATCGTTTAGTTCCGACGCGGTTGTTGGGCGCCATGTCCACGGAGTCGTCCGGCATGTGTCGCACGGCCAGGCCCAGGTCGGCGATCGCGCACGTGCCGTTACTCTTCACCAGAATGTTCTTCGACTTGAGGTCGCGGTGCGCGATCGCGGGTTTACCTGGAGAGCAGAGCGAGAGACGGTCAGCGTGACAAGGTGGGTCAGTGTGATACAGCAGTGTGGGCATAGCGCCGACTCGGAGTACGCTGCTGCCCTCTACCGAGTCTAGCGCCAGGATAAGCTATTACGCGTTCAGCGATGGCGATCAACCGACTGCGACTCTTTGACACCACACTGTCAGCAGTTAATGACGCGCATGGGGACGCCCTCGAAACCACCCACAAGCCCACCAGGTCAGGCCACAGGAAGGGAAACAACAGTGTCCAAACGGCGTCTTGAAATTACATGTGCGAGAGGGCCAGTCCCCTCCTCAATCTCATCAGTCATCCCGTGTAATGCCTTGCCTCCCTTTCTTCTCTTCTCAACCAGCGTACCTTCCCTCCTTTCCTTTCAAACAGCACACCTGTCTTTCCATCCCTTTCCTATCACCCTGTGTCCATCCCCTCTTACCATGTATGCCGGCAATCTCCATAGGTATGCAGGTGGGCCAGTTCCTCCTCCCTCCCCTCCCCCTCTCTCTCGCTCTCTTTCTCTGTCCTCTCTTACCCTGAGTGCCGACAATCTCCATGTGCAGGTGGGCCAGTCCCTCCTCCCCCCCCTCTCTCTCTCTCTCTCTCTCTCTCTCTCTCTCTCTCTCTCTCTCTCTCTCTCTCCTCCCCTCCTCTCTCACCCTGTGTGCCGACAATGTCCATGTGCAGGTGGGCCAGTCCCTCCTCCCCTCTCTCTCTCTCGCTCTCTTTCTCTCTCCATCCTCTCTTACCCTGTGTGCCGACAATTTCCATGTGCAGGTGGGCCAGTCCGGTGACTATAGACAGCGCCAGCCGGTACATGCCCCTCACGTCCACCGTGTGTCGCTGCAGGTAGTCGAATAGACTGCCGTGACGGTGGTAGTCCGTGATCAGCCACAGCTGCGTCCAGGTGCCGTTATCTGCGGTATACAGAGGGCAGGTTAGGTCATTGGTCACTGATCATACACCCCGTCCATCGTTTCCATCCTCAGGACTTTAAAATCCTTCTTCACGCCGCAACCCTCGGTCCGGGCTGGACAGGCAACTTTATCTCATGCGGGCTGCTCCCTTGGAGGGGCACCGCTGCTACCAGGGGAGCACACCCGTAGCCGGGTGCAGTGAGTACTTTGGGGGCTGGTCGGCCTGTCCTTTGGGACGGGCTCAGCCTCGGTGACTCACCAAGATGCCTGCCCAGCGCCCAGACCAATGTCTCCCCCAAATTCCTATCATCCTTCCGGCTCTGAAATTGTCAAACTGAAAGGACCTTACCCAGCAAAACAAACAAAAACAAACAAACTGATCAAACGCCCCCAGGTTCAGGGTCACATGTCATATGAACGAGCTATGGATGATTGGTGAGAGGGATTGGCGAGGCAGGTAGCAGAGATTCATACGGACGCCTAGCAGAGAACGTATCGCAGCTGATGTACAGTCCACAGCAGAAGTAATGTGGGGTTTCAGTCATGGGTATGTTCTGCTTCTGAAGCTTAGGAACGATTAACCAGACTACAATGAAACTTTGAATGTAGCTTATATGTATCGGCACCCTTGCAGCTGCAACTTTAGCTATTGACATCTTCTTTTCGATCACTCCGCATTAAACAATCGCCAGTCAAAGCCAACCGTTGAGATTGGTAAAACCCTACATTACTTTAGCGGTGGGCTGTACATACGCCAGACACGGGCTAGTCGACATGTTGTGGTAAAGAATATGTTTCACAATCTCGATGTAGTTTTGTGCAGTGCCGAGTACTTGCAGTTCGTAGCGAATTTCCGACTTTGTTTTATTACCGAATGCAATGCGCTGCAATGTCGGGTCAGACTATTCAAATGAATAGATTAAAATATTGAACCGTCGTGAAGCTCTGCTGTCAAAACACGCTCGATTGGCGTTAGTTAGCATTAAGTGTGTGTTTTGAAGCTTTAAAAGTCGGAAAGCAGCTTTGTGGAAGTGGTTTGCATATTGAAAAGACAATAATCTTCACTGGGAGTATAACCGCTGACCAGGAAACAGTACCTACTATAAAAACACTTCTTCTTTCTCGTTACCACGTCAACCCCACCAAACACTACACACTACAAACACTATATACAACACACATACATTATACAACCCACTCGACACCCACTGTGAGAGTACATCTTTCCCCGATGGCTTCCAGCCGATCCCCGCATACATATCCCACTCACAAGGCTGGTAGCTCCCGGTCAACTACCGCCTGGGTCGCTTCTCAGGCGATTACCAAGTAGCGCAGCGCAGAAACACTTTACATCATATTTTCCCAGATCAAACATAGCTGCGATGAATGCATTAGGCGAGCTCTCAGAGTGTTCCCAAAGTCCCGGAACTCCCAGTCTCAGCAAATAGGCTATCTGAGTCCGCCGTTGGCTGCGAGAGATGCGAGAGAGATGGCTTTCAGCAAACGGCAGAACGCTATATCACTGCTGGCCGCTGGGAGCTCGGGAGACACGGACTGAGTGACGGATTGAGGGTGATGGGGCACAGACTGATGGAATTGGGATACGGACTGAGGGCAGTGGGGTAATGACTGGACCGGGCCACGGACTGGTAGCATAGAGCAGCTCGGAACTCAGACTGAGGCACGGTCTGAACGCCAAACATGGAATACGCGTTGACTGACGAGTGGTGGTAAGGAGTAGGGAAACAAACTGAAAGACAAAAGGATAGAAGAGGCACATCATTGTGGTTCGTACTGTAGTATCTGAGGAACAGATTGACGGGATACTGTCACTCAATGAGTCACTCATACCTGGGAGGACAGAGAGTAGGGGTGGGGAAATATAATAGACAGATCGTCGCATCCTTGTTTGAGGGACGAAGCTATGTAGTAACAGAACACGACCGTACCTTTGTTGTCTGCCGCGATGAAGCCGAGTATGTTCTCATGTCGCAGCATCACCGTCTGGTAGATTTCCACCTCACGGAACCAGGAACGCTCGTCACGGGTCGAAAAGATCTGCCGAGGCGCATAGTAAGAGGTCAAAGCGAGCAAGAACCTTGTTTGGGACGTAAGCGACCAACGGAAGGCTCGAATCTAAGGATGGGACGCGTTTACAGAGGCTGCATCTGCGTCAAGCATGCCAGCTGAGTGCACCCGGAGAATCTCCTGGCTGAAAAGACGAGTCGACGCGTACTCAATGCTTCAAACGAGGTCGCTCCGCACTGGATTCAAAGAGAAGCAGTCTAATGCTTCGGTCGACATCAATCTGAACACCCCAGAAGACCGTGTAACGCAATGTTTGACGTCAAGCATTTAACAATGAAATTAAATACACTAGAATTGAGCTTACAGGCTTTCAAAGTAAGCGTCTCAGACAGGCTACATCGTAACTAACTTTGCGTTGCTTCATTCCTCGAAAGGACGATGTTTTCAAATCAAATTAGGATAAAAATATTTAACTCCCGCTCTCTTTCTCCCTCTCTCGGGCCCTACCTCCCCTTCCCCTCTATATCTCTCCCTTACCCTTTCCCCCTCTCTCTCCCTTCTTCCCTCCCTCCTCCCCCTCTCTCTCCCTCACCCTCTCTCTCACCTTAACGGCCACATCCTCTCCGTGCCAGCGGCCCCACCAGACGTCTCCATAGCGCCCCTTGCCGATGCTCTGGTCCAGGGTGACCTGACGCGCCACTGAGCGCTGTACCAGCAGCGGCAGGCCGGAGCCGGAGCCGGAGGTGCTCGCCTCCAGCAGCTGTTTGAGTCCGGCACCTCCGGCCAGCGGGCCGCCGCACTCGGAGCCGGTGCCGTCCAGCAGGCGGTCACCGATGTCGTCAAATGGAGGGCGTGCTTTGTACCGCTGGCGGCCGTAGCAGCACTGTCGGCACAGGGTTTAGACATAAGTACGGTCTACATAATGTAACAATACAATACCTACACAGACAAATGGCACAGGGTACGACGCTGGGTAACAACTCAAGCTTATGGCATACGGTTACGGCACTAGATGACAGAACAATAGGGAAAGCAGTAACTACATATTGTAACAATAAGCGACACAGAATAAAAGCACCGCTAAAAGGAAACACTGGAAAAGGATAAGTTGGGGGCATTCCACGTCAAATCAAACACCGAAATCCGTCATCCCCTTCGATTTTTCTGAAAATTTGTAGGCAGACTGGGCATGGTTCAAAACTGAGTTACGTATAATATTTTCGAAATTTGATAACGTATCGCTGAGATATAGGTCATCGAATATAGTGAAAAATGCCACACATCAATTTTTTAAATGGCTATAACTCTGGTTCCTTTTCTGGTATCAAAATGATATTAACAGGGTCTTATAGGCAATTGATAAGGCTTTGATTTTTAATTATAAGATGAAATTGAAGTGACCTTGAAATGCTTTTGACCTTGAATTAAAACATAAAAATTTAAATAGCAAAAAACACGTCACCTTCGATTTGGCTAATTTTTACATATTATGTCCGTCACAATGTTCCTAACCATCTGTGAAAAAATTGGAGTGGGCCATTCATAACTTTCGCGGCAAACGCCGTTTTCATGCATCAACATCACGCAACCGCGCGTGACCTTGAAAGACAGAGTCAAGACATGCTTGCTTGTGTACACTTTCTTAAATGAATGATTGCTGATTAGTGATATCCTAAACTCTGCGAGAATGGAAATGCATAGTCATCGTAGTCAAGCATTCACGTTCCATAGTAAAAGTGTCTCAGGCAAACGGTATTTTGCGGTGAATTTTGAGCCGTGAGGAAATGCATCATGAAGTAAATTCAACGAAAACATTATCACGCAACGATATCTTCACGTCTTTTGATCTTCACTATACGAAAGAACATACATTTTATAGTATGTATGGGGAATTTCTAGTTAATCCAATAATAAATATGGCAGTTAAAGGCCTGCTAAGAGTAACATGTCGCCGGCTGCAAGGCGGGCTCGGCCGATGCGGGAAATGCAGTAATCACAATTTTCTGTTTACACGTTCATATTTCAATTGTTTACCAACCGATTTTCAAAATTCTTTCACCATAAGATTGCCTGTACATTTCTTAGTCTTCTCACAAAATTGGACGCGAATCGAACGAAATCAGCAGTAGGGAGCGCGATGTAAAGACGGAACCGTTCCGTTCCGTCCCGGCACAGTCTACAATTCAGGCGGCGCGTAGCGGTCGGCGCCGGCTGCCGAGTCGCCGCGTCGCTGCGGCGACAGGATGTTCACTTTACACCGCTATTACTAGAACAGTTGTGAACCGATTTTCTTATTGCTTGCACGATGAGATGTCCAATTCAATTCTTGACAGGTAGCCATAATTAATTTCGCATTAATCTTATGAGATATTGGCGAAAAACAGGAGGGGTGGGCGAAATTCGCTCTTCCTCCTCCACTGCGCGTGCTAACATACGTTTGCATATGTGCAGTTTTCTTCAAAACTTATGAATGGCCCACTCTAATTTTTTCACAGGTTGTTAAGAATATGATAGGCAATAAAATATATGAAAATGAGCCAAATCGATGGTGACGTGTTTTTTGCTATTTCGATATTTGTGCTTAAGAACAGAGTTAAGCAAATTTCAAGGTCATATATTTAAGTAGGTGCAATTCTAAACAAATGCTTAAGAAATTACCTAAATAGTAAGGGTTATTTCATTCAAATCAAACAAGTACAACCAAAGTTATGGTCATTCAAAAATATAAAGATGCAACATTTTGTAAAAATTTGATGCCCTATATTTAGAAGACCTTTGGTCAGAATGTGCAAAAAACATCAATGTAATGTCCGGGGCCACACAGGAACTCGCTCACAAATTTATAATGAAATCGCTGATGGTAAGGTGCAAAACAGCCGATTTTTGTTCGATTTGACGTGGAATGCCCCGTTGGTAGCATTCTTCCAACAGTAATCTCAGAAGGAATGTAAATGTCACAGACTCGCACCGATCCGAAGCAGACTCGCATCAAACTTACGCTATAGCTCAGAAATACAACTGCACAACTGCACAATAGTGAATTCGAGGGACCAACTTCTGAGATGAGATAATGAAATAACTTCGTGAGCCTCTGCCAGAATACACGAGAAAGGATGCGAAGGGACAAATCAAGGCATCAAGCAGCACACCTGCTTTCAGCTAGGACGGTGCGTTCGGTAGGGAAGGTAAATAAATAATTTTACATCTATAACGGCATCTCTCATCCAGTAGGAAGTTTGCAGCGTTCATTGCGAAAACAGCCTTGTTATGAGTCTGCGTCAAGTACATAACAGCCTCCAGTCCTGTTGGGGAGAACTTGCAGAGCGTGGGACAAACTTTCCGGCTGCTGCAATTGCCATTTAAATTAGTTTCTGAGAGCCGTTCTAGAAAGCCGGTTATTCTTAACCTTGCCAGCTCGCTTGTCTCAGCAGTTACCGCGTCGACAGCAGGTAGGTGCATTAATGTCGCATTCGTGAGCAACCCCGGCAAATGGAGTGTAAATATCACTGCAATTACCTGGAGTGGCAGTTGACCATTTTAAAACTAAACGGAGGATGTTCAGCCCAGTCGTCGAATACCACACCTTTCTCATCAATCTTGCAGCAATGGCGTGTAAATGAATCCAAGCATTCAAATCTCGGCCGCTCTGTGTTCTCGACAATGAGATGACACCACGATACAGAACAATGAACATCTTTCCATTTGTTCATACTGGGAGAGACCAGCTGCCGTCCAGTTCAGAATGCCAGCATTGCCGCACCCCCCGTTTCCGCATCGCTAAACTCCACCCCCACCCCACCACCACAACACTGCAAATCGCTGAAATATGAAGCGCAAAACGACAGCAATCGACAGACCGTGAATCGACAGAAACGCCGTTCTCTTCGGATTCGGTCAGTGGACAATGGCCAGGAAAACGGTGACCACTAGTTGAGGCGGTCGGGCAGACGGGGCTGGCGACACGACACTCGAACTCTGTAATGTACCGGACAAACGAAAAGATCCGCCGGTCGACAAGCAGACAGACAGACAAACGACGGACGGCTCCACGTGGGTCGGAAACAACACAGCGGGCGGACGGCGGGGCCGAGCAGCCGGCCCACGCTGCAACGTCCCCAACTCATGCAACGCCGCTGTTTGGACGCTCATGAATGTAAAGCCCTCGGCACGGTTGAGCTGCAGTGGCTGCTGCCGCCTGCAGTCTGCAACAATACAGATGCTGAGGCCAAACAACAACGCGGTGCTGAGATTGACACATGAAACCAGTGCCTGATCCCGTGGGTCATGAGGTCATGACCCAAAACAATCAGAGCGTGATTTGACCCCTTTCTAAAGACATAACCATCGGCGCTACTTCATCCTCTGCGTTCAATAACTTTCCGTTCAATAACCATCCAACCAAATATCCCGTCAACAATCAGCTCCGGTCTCTCTCCAGCGAATCGACAAATGATATCATCTATCTGACGATTATAACAGACCGTAGCCTATAAATATATAACACACAGACACCTGCTGCAGTTCGGTTATCGATGTTGCAGCCGATACTCAAGCATGCACGTAATGGTTATTAGTCTGCAGCCTGCCCCGCCCCGTGTTGCACAAATCGGCGCTATCGGCACGCCCGGTGCATACAGAGTCTGTTCTCTGACCGAATGTGCCGGTCGTCGGGCCGGAAAGGGCGAGGTTTGAGGTCTGCCGACAGCAGACCACTCGACTGATGACACAGGGATAGACAGAGTAGCGCGGTAATAACACCAATGGGATATCCTAGCCATACCCAGTCATGCCGAGCGTGAAGTGTGTGACCCAGAGGCGGACCGGGCAGATGGACGGATCGGCGGACGGACGGGCCGATAAACAAGTGAAACAACGAAACGAACTACCAAACTACCGAAAAACGATCAATCAAACGAACGAACGAACCAACGAACTAACGAAGAAATTAACAAAACAAAAAATAACGAACGAACGGAGTGCCGACCCTGATACGCGATCTCTGCACGACCAGTGGGCGGCTCAGGCGCAACAATCATCATTATCGCCCGCCAGATGTAGGTTCGAGCAGTGTAATTAGCCGTGGGGCAGATCTGGTTGCGATACGCTCGCGTCTCTTATATTCTGCTGATTGGCAAAACCAGGATGTACCGACCATTAGGCACCTACATAGATGCGGGACACTGATTATTTCAACTCTAAAGAAGCATCCGGAAAATGGAAAGACAACATCCCGGCTGCTGATATCGGTACCAAATTAATTACTCCAGGGTTGTGCGACATCATGCTCAGACAAATCAGACGCACGGAAAGGCAATGGAAGATGAAAGCGGCTCTAAATTACTTTTACAAACTACTTAATTATTGCTTCCAAAAACAAATAAACACAGATCTCTCAGAGTTCCCATGGCGATTAAAAACAGAAGGCACAAAAAGGTGGCGAAATAGCTAACTAAATAGTTCTATTATCATCAAGCAGTCATCTAAAAGGCTGTAGCCCGGCGGTGGCCGAGCAGACCTCCCTACAGCCAAATACAGTGACCGGAGTTAAAGGAAAAGGGCCACCTTTAACATGGGGATTGAAACTGAGATAGCCATCTTGTAGCCCGTGTCCGAAAACCAACCTGTCTGCCTCCTTACGGCCGATTTCGGCCTCCATTCGTAGTTATCGGCAATTTTAAAAGAAAATACGCCAGGAATGCGTCCTTATCCCAGGAATGCGTTCTTATCCGACAATACAGCCACCCGCGGCGAGGCTTTGGTTTTTTACCAATCAGCTCCAACCAGCTCAGCTTTAACCAATCAGCTTATCTGACACAATCCGACGAGTCTGTCTTCTGAACGCTGATTGGCTTGAGTGTGACGTCATCGCTATGCCATCATACAGTAGGTGCCGTAGAGAGTATCAACATAGTACCAATATGTTAAATAGTTTGAAATACTTTTTCGCGAATTGTGCACTTCTGGCACCAGTTTTAAAAAGAAAATGAAAAATAATAATGTCAAAATGAAAACAACGATATCTTCATATTTCACGAAGGTGGCCCTTTTCCTTTAACCTTAACTTGCCATGAACAGTGAGCAGAGTCAGCCTCACCTTGACGTAGGCCCAGATGACGGCCAGCAGCAGGAGGATGGCCACCACGGCCGGCAGTGTAATCTGGAGGAACAGCGTGCGACTCCGGTCCAACCAGGTGTCCGGAGGCGGCGGCGCTGTAAACGGAGAGAGCCCACAGGTCAGAGAGGGCGAGAGAGAGAGAGAGAGGCAGAGGAGGTCAGAGAGCGTGGATGGGGTCAGAAACGTGGGTAGAGTTGGGGAAACAGAGGGACAGGTCAGGGAGGCGGCAAAGAGCAGGTAGAATTAGAAGGTGGGTATAGGAGAAGCCAGAGAGATTGGAAAGAGTGGGAGGTCAGAGCACAAAATGCCAGCCAAAACACAGTGCAGAGAATAGGGCACCCACCACCCATCAAGCAACACAGTGAGAAACACCAATCAATTCGCATCCAAAGTCACAGAATATCAAGTCATAACACAGCCCAAAGCACACAGCACCGACACCAAGCTGGTCGTGGGAGGGGAGTCCACAGTCGGACCACGTGAACAGCGTGGGTGTAAAGTGGGTCGCTGACACTCCAATAGCTCCCCTGGGCCCACAGGGTCGTTCTAACAGTCGATCGATAAGACGACCCTGGCATTTCTGAGAGCAAGGCGCAGTTGAACGGTATGGCTGGCGGTCCGCCCTCCCACGCACCATGGGATGAGATTCTGCTAGAGAACGTCCCCATCGAAAAGTTACCATATTCACAAGCCCTCCCACGCATCGTGGATTATAATAGTGCTTGCAATCTTCTCCAGCGAAACTAGCATACTGTAAGACTGGCATACACGATCATGCAGTACATCGGTGCTGTAGCAAGCAATATCGACATGGCAGCGCGGCGATCTATTCCCATTAGATTTGTGATAAGAATTCCAGACCCAACAAAACTTCCAGGAACGTGAACCAAAAGAACTTCATTTATTGGCCGCCTGAGATGACGGCGTTATGGACACTAATGATCCGCCGTCCCACACAGAGATGACGAACTGGGCCGTCAGAGACGGGTGACAGACAGCGAGTTCAGAGCCCCATGGGAGAAGGATCCGGGAGGGCAGAAAACTGCGCCGTCGCCAACGCCAGACTCCGTCCAGACGCTCAACAAGGTTCAGCTCAGCGGTAAACACATTTGACTTACTTCATCGACCGCCGTTAAATCTCAGAGCCTAAACGATTGACGGAAACGCCCTCCTTCCGAAATGCACGGCATCATCATCATCATCATCATATATTTTTTGCGTCACATGGGAAGTAGTAAGAAATAGAAAACATCAGAAATCAGTGAACAAAGGATCGGTGCAGAAGCCTACCGGCTTAAATTAAGGCACCTATCCTGAGAAAAAAAACGAACGAAGCTGAAGTCGAGCTTGAACAAACCATACAGCACATACAACAGAAAGGAAGAACACCACCGGATGTGTTAATGATGGATGTTATTACTGATGAGAGTGATTACTTTTTGTTGTGCCACTGGCTGGTCTGGGGACGATTTAATCGTTGAACCGTCTTGTACTTAAGATAAATTTTTGGAACTCAGAGGCAACTCTGAGGCCGCTGCCGGTGTCGAGGCCCTCACCATACAGTAGTGTGTCTAACTGTGTTTGATGATCTAGTGTTGTGATTCGTGTCCTAGAGTGGTTGATATGATTGTGAATAGCTGTGTTCGGTGTTGTTGGTAGAGTGGGCATCTAAGTATGAAGTGTGGTGTATCTTCTGAGTGATAGCCGCAAGCGCAGGGGAGTGGGACATTTTTGGATTTATATTGGTGAGCGTTCAGGATGGACATATTGAGGCGTAGTTGGGTGTGTAAACGATTGCCTTCTCGGCTTCCGAAGGCGAGATATGGAGGTGGTTTCAGTGCCTAGGTGTTGCTCGAGAGCTGCTTAAATGATTTGAGGGTAGGAAGAGAGCGGATTGATTCGGGAAGGTTGTTCCATAGTCTGGTGGTCTGGAGAAGATCTTTAAAGTATAGGGTTCGATGGATTGGTAATGTATGAGTGTTTGAGTTGTGTAATGCATCTGAGCAGACGATTGAAAATCGGTAGAAATCTGACGTGACGTCTGACCGTAAACAACACAGAAAACAGGCAAATAATATCATTTCCTTCCTAAGTTACCATTCAGATGCGGATGACCTGACAGCAAAATACGGCACACGAATTAGCAGTAGTTGTTAGCCTGGTCGGTTATACATACTTGAGTTGTATAAGTGCATCTTTTATAAATGAAAAGTAATTGCATTTGCATAACGCATCTCAAGAAATGCCATGATTCGTTATTAATTATATGTTTTTTTTTTGTAAAATTACATACAACGGCACACAACTTCCACAAATGGCATCCTGCTAAAAAAATCGAACAATATCAACTCGCAGCATAAAGGGCTGGGAGGAGTGAGCAAAAAAGTCATGGATTCAAATGGCATGGATTCAAATGGCAAAATGGAGACTGCATTGGCAAGTATAAAAGCTGTGTTTCAGCCTTCAGCAGTATCATATTATCAATCAGCGAATAAACCGTACGCTACCGATTAACCCAGACTGGGCTCTTCCTTATCGTGCATGAGAACATGACGACACCATAACTGTAAAATCGAGCC